TGGGATATTTTAAAGAAAGAAAGCACAAGCCGCTATATAAGCAAACGACATTTGTTAGGTTTCATTTGATTAAACTATAAAACATATTGTTCAAAATAAAGACAAAGGTATTGTTGCATTTAGTCTAAATAGTGAAATGTCTAGATCTAGAATAATTTGTGCCACTTGATTTGATATTTGTTATGCAATGAAGTCAATTTGGAAATGAATAATGTTTTCCTATTACATTAAATGAGATATAAATAAAATATGTAACAGTAATTTATATGAATATAAAGCAGAGCAGAAAAAATGCTCCATCCAAAGCACAAAGAGAGAGATTATGTGTGTATTAGATAAAGAGGAGGATAGACATTTGTGTTGGCTGTAGTTGTGTTTATGCCTTTGGCAATTGTGCAGTGAGCTGAGATAAAGCACTTCCCATCCACACAATCGCACACACACAACCCAGGGCTAAACTGACATCCAGAAATACACTCACGCACACACTGCATGAGGTTATGAGCAAACACCGAGATCCGCAAGGGAAGAACGTTCCGATTACAAATCAAGTTTCTCCTGTTCTTATGTTGCATACTAAGCAAATATGTGAATCTTCACAGGTGGAACAGACAAGCAGGCCAGATATCGCCTTGTTCCTCATCAAGTACCTGATGATGCTGGTGGTGGGCATCCCGTCAGTGTTTTGGGTCGGCAGTAAAAAGACCTGCTTCGAGTGGGCCAGTTTCTTCAACGGGAATCGCAAAAAAGAGTGAGTCCCATGAAATGCTTGGCAGATTTCTAACATTATTGTTTAGGCCTACTACAGTGTAATGCACATATTTTGTGTGACCTAAAGGTCATAGGTTTGATTTCCAAGAAACACAAACTGATAATGGCCTAAAAAAATCATTTTAAAAGTGAAGCTGACTTTTCTTTATGGATTTTTTTATTTAGTCTAAATACACTACCGTTCAAATGTTTGGTCAGAAAGATTTTTTTCTTTTGGAAGAAACTACTTTTCAGCAAGGATGCATCAAATTGATCAAAAGTGACAGTAAGACATTTCATAATGTTAAAAAAAGATTTCTATTTCAAATAAATGCTGTTTTTTTTTTTACTTTCTATTCATCAAAGGATCCTGAACAAAACATGTTATGGTTCCCACAAAAATATTAAGCAGTACAACTGTATACAAGATTGAGAATAATAAGAAATGTTTCTTGAGCAGCAAATCAGCATATTAGAATAATTTCGGAAGGATCATGTGACACTGAAGGCTGGAGTAATGATGCTGTTATGATGCATTATTTACACATTTACATTTTAATTACATATTCAAATAGAAAAATTATAATATACAATTACATTATTTATTGTAATTTAAAATTACTATATTTTAAATTGTAACAATATTTCACAATATTAATGTTTTTACTGTATTTTTGATCAAATAAATGCAGCCTTGGTATAAGACTTTTGAACGGCAGTACATATTATTATATTATATAAATGTAGGAATCATAACATTATATTGTACAGTATGAAAACTGAATTGAAAAAATGATTTGCTAAAGATAATCTAAATAAAATCTCTACAAAAGATACAAAAATCTCTAGTATCATCCAATAACAGAAATGGTACAGATATATTGTGCATCTGTCATATGCTTCAATGTAAAGTCAATGAAAGACAGATAACAGCCACAGAAAGTAATTCAGTCAGTATACATTTTGATACATTTCTTCCATTTGTGTATGCAATATGGATATTTGATGAAGGACAGGAAGTAGCTAGAGGAAATAGTTCAGTAAGTGTGTACTGTCTCATAGGGGTTAGTGTTAAGGCTTGTTCTCTACACACCCCTATCCCTAATATCAGGGCATTAACCTCCTCTCCCTCCCCTTGTCCCACTCCCCCCTCCCTCATTCATTTCCCCTCCGCCTTCCCCCTCTCTCTTCCTTCACTCCTCTGTCACTCGCTCCCCTCTTTGCCCCCCCCCCCCCCCCCCCCCAGCAGAGCAGTGCACGAGAGCAGACAGGTGCTGCAGGAGCCTGACTTCACCCAGCTCCTCCTCCGGGACGCCAACACTCCAGTGGTGAGGAAGTCTAGAGGCACGTCCACGCAGGGCACCTCCACTCACGCCTCGTCCACACACCTGGCCATGCTGGACGAGCCGCCCAGCGCCAGCACCAGCCGCGCCAGCAGCTTCCACGGCAGCCTGCACCGCTCGCGAGACGGAAGGTGACGCATTCACACTCAAATCATCATGACTAATCTGAGGACTTTTTATCACATTTTGCTTTGGTTTTTGTGAATCTGTGGAATGCCAATTAGTCACTGTTTAATAAAAAGACTTGCAAGAAACGAGTAATGCATAGAAACACAAATACATAAATAATGAGCACAATGGTGATGCATTGTACTAGGCTAGATATCCAATATTAAAGTCACAATGAAACAAAGGTAGCGACAGACCTTTTCTTCTGCATTATAATGTACATCTGAGTGTAATGGATTATCGGGGGGGAAAAAATTCAGGGCGGAGAGTTGGTTGAGGCATCAGTTGTTGATTGTATTTTGGGATGGGGGCGCTGCACTCAAAAATGAATGCTTAATGATTGGAGGACTCCGGCATACATCACCCTTTTCATCTGAAGATCGAGTTATGATATTTTGATTAAACATTACAAGATCTTCTTTTTTTCTTTAAATGAAACACTACTGGTCAAAAGTTTTAAATAATTATGTTTGTTTTTTTTAGTTTTTGAAAGAAATCTCTTATGCTCACCAAAGCTGCATTTATTTGATCAAAGATAAGATACACCAAAAACAGTAATATTGTGAAATATTATTACAATTTAAAATGGCTATCTTCTATTTTAATATATTTTAAAATGCATTTTATTCCTCTGATGGCAAAGCTGAATTTTCAGCATCATTACTCCAGGCTTCAGTGTCACATGATCCTTCAGAAATCATTATGATATGCTGATTTGCTTTTCAATTATTTTTGCTAATAATAGTTAATATTATTATTAATGTTTAACTGTTTTTCACATTGATATTAATAATAAATGTTTCTTGAGCAGCAAATCAGCATATCATAATGATTTCTGAAGGATCATGTGACACTGAAGCCTGGAGTAATGATGCTGAAAATTCAGCTTTGCCATCAGAGGAATAAAATACATTTTAAAATATATTAAAATAGAAGATAGCCATTTTAAATTGTAATAATATTTCACAATATTACTGTTTTTAGTGTAGACTGAGACTTATTTAAAAAAAATCATGGATGAATCATTCAAAATAGGTGGAATGAATTATCAACTTGTACTAAACCTACTAAATTCAGCAAATGTCCCAGGATAATAGAGCCCCCATTGGGCACAGCTGGACGAAACCTACAGCTGCCTTCCAGATCAAAGATCTAAGCATCACTGAATCTCATTCTGTTTCCCGTATTCAGGTACACAGCTTGCAGTTATCGTGGTGTGGAGGAACGTGTCCCTCAAGGAAGCACCCTGCGCCTTAATGATCCGCTCCAGCACTGCGCCGCCAACCGCCTCGACAGCCAATCACGGCACGGAAGCCTGCAGCGCCTGGAGAGCCAATCACGGCACAGCAGCGTGCGGGACCTCAGCATCACTGCGCAGGCCATCCAAAGCAGCCCTGGCAACGGCATTCACCGCGTCGTAGAGGAGGACGCGACCAAGGCCTGAACTTTAACGTGCAGATAGAGACCAAATGAGTAAAGAGAACATGGACTCCTCTGGTGAAAACTCCTCACGATGGATCACACAAATATGAGAGCATTCAAACTACAAAGTGCAACTTTGTGCGTTCCCTGGGAATTGAACCCACAATCTTGCCGTTGTTAGCGCCTTGCGCTGCTAGTTGAGCTACATGGAACGAAATGGACTATTAAATAAGATCAGTTGATCAGGATGCCAAACACTTGAAATTGTGCAAAACTGTGCAAAAATGGCATACGCTACCGTTAAAAAGTTTGCGGTCAGTACGTTTTTTTTTTTTATTCTTAAAGAAATTAAAGCTTTTATTCAGCACAGATGCATTAAATTGATCAAAAGAGACAGAAATCTTTTGTAACATTATAAATGTCTTTACTATTTCAAATAAAGAATCCTGAAAAGGAAAAGGTTTCTTGAGAACCAAATCAGCATATTAGAATGATTTCTGAAGGTTCATGTGACATTGAAAAATTCAGCTTTGCCATCTGAAGAATAAATTACATTTTAAAATCTAATCTCAATATTTCTATTTACAGTATTTTTGATCAAATAAAAGCAGTCTTGGTGAGAATTAGATACTTCTTTCAAAATCATTAGAAAATCTTACTGACCAAACTGAACGGTAGTGTGTGTATGTTCTGTTAGCTTTCTCAAGTTAAATCTGTGTGGAACCTCTCGGTTCCTACATAAACAGGGTCACACGTAAGGGCTTTTGATACATCATCATCCTGTGATGTGTTGAGGCGCTTGCTGTTTTATACTCCCATGATTTGAGCGTTCTGATTTGTTTCACTACAGATGCAGTTTTGAATGTTTCTTCCCATTGTTTGTTGCACTTTTGACCTTTTTGTAGAACAGAACTAGTGATGGATACTGAAATCCTGCACATTTGGGTCAAATTTCAAAGGACAGGTCACCCAAAAATGGGGGGTAATTACTTCTCATGTTTCCCTTAGCTGAGGAAACTGACAACATTTTCATTTTTGTGTGAAATATCCCTTTAAGTGTGAAGAGCTGAATTTAAAAGAAAAGAAAAAGAGTAAAAAAAACATTTTACGTCAGTCGTTTTAGAATAGATATTGTAGGATTTTTTCGATTGGAAATTGGCATATACTTTACAACCAAGCTCTTCTCTGTTGAGTTCTAGCACTGATAATTAGTCGAGTCAATTTCGTGTCATTTACCGAAAACTGTGAAAAGCTTTTTTTTTATAAACATGTTTTATGTGCATATGTACAAAATAAAACATCACCAGTCTTAACACATTCTTATCCATGTGTGTCATTTCCCTCCGTTTATTGAATACATCAGCGTCAGGTTAATATAGTAACGTCTCCATATATGCATAGTGGCCAGTTTATCCAGTCTTTGATTGACCTTTCACCTTAAATACATCTGTGCAAAACGACTCCTCATTGCTTGAAGTGATATCCACCTTTTTCAAGTGAGTGAGAAACGATACAACCATGAAACATATGGAATGGACATTTGACATGCAAAACTGTACAAATTATTAAAAAGCATATCCTAAGAAAAAAAAAGAAACCACCGAGATGAGATTGAGCTCATATAAACGTATGTGTAAGAGGTTACGGAAATGCAGGTTTCCATCCAAACGTCTGCTTTCCTTTGCTGTTACTTACTACTGGAATGATACTGCAAAACTGAAAGCCAATTTATTGTAAACCTTTTAACAAATTATCCAATTCAGTGAGTTTCCCCATTTGTGGAATGAACAGATGTGAACCTGGTGCAGAAATCAAGACGTGAGGACCTAACAGAAGCCTGCATGAGGCGGGAGACTCGCTTACTTGTGCAACCAAATTAAATCAACTACAAACAGAATAAGGAACAAAGTGAAGCCTGTGTTGCTCATTAGACATGCAATTTATGAGTTTTAAACTATTCTCTATTTTTTTTCTTTTCTTTGGATGGAATAAATGTACTTGGAACTGCAATAGCAGCAATTTGAAAACTACATAATGACAAATACATACTGGTTTTGTGGGAGCAGATTATTGTAATATAGTTTAATGGTAAAGTCTAACCTTACATTTAATAGCAGCGGTGAATGTTTTAACACTTAACGGGATATAATTACTGTTAATACCCATGAAAAGATTTTCTGAAAACAAGTTTTTCCAGGGTAGAAAGTTCCCAAACTATGTGTGTGAAGCAAAGTGTGTTAACTATTTCCCATACTGTAACCATGAAACCATCCAGAAACAAAACGAAGTGGCTTTTGTCTGTCTGCAAACCTCAAATTACATGGACAAGTTCAACAATTTGGACCTAATAGTTCCAGATCGCAGAAATATGATATTTGTACAGTTTCGGTCGATGCATGTATTGCCATCTGATAAAGCAGAAGTGAAGCCGGCGGACATTATGCAGTTTTTTGTTTTGTTTTTTTAAAGCACACTTGTAGTAAAACAGCTTGGCTTGTGTCTCACAAAGATATTCAAGGAAATAAAAATACACAAGGCAGTATTGTCTCATAAAACAAAATAAAAATCTAAAAGAACCGACGCAACTGAAGTTTTTTTAAATGGTCTTGGCGTGAGTATATTAAAATAATTCTTTAAAAATAAAAGCAGTGAGATTTTTTTCCACATAGTTTATCTCTTCAATATTTCCTTATTATATATTATACTATACTTTTAACCTATGTACATTACTGTGATGTGTTTTCACAGGTCATGTTGTTTCACGGAAGGTTCGGATTACATGGAGACTGGCGATGATGATGGTAACAGATCCCAAGATGTCATCATGTCAGAAAGCCTCTGCAAATTCCTACAAATATAGGACAGGAAGCAATAGATGAGGTCGCCTGATATTCCATTAGCTGAAGTAACAAACGAATCACTGCACACATCACTTTTAAAAGCAAATAAAAAATATACATCGTTGCAATTTTTTCCTGGTAAATTAGTGGGATTCTATAATGGAATCATCATTCCCGTATGGTCCACAGCTGAAGAGCAGAGTGAGGGACGTGACAGTATTTTCCACCTTGAAATGGCTAAATGATAAATAAATAAAAGTTCACCCTAACCCGGTCTATGTACAAACGCCAGTAACAATTAAATCCAGAACTAGTAGCCTCCACTTTTTCATCCAATCAGCTTTGCGGGGTCGTCGCTCAAACATCCGCATCCACGCGCACATACAAACGCTCACATGTTGGTGTGGTTTTTCCTTTGTATGTTCCCCAGTGGTGATCGTTTATGCAAATGAGGTGGGAGGGGCCTGTAGTGCCTGGGTGCGACTGTATGGGAGGGGGGCGGAGCACTGTTACAGGCAGACTCAGAGTTTGTTGTGATTGGTTCACCGTTGAGTCCATCATGTGTCCCACCCTGTGCGGTCTGTGCTCTCCAGTGAGAGGGACTTTGTCTTGTGTGGGGAGGCGGGGCTTGGCGGGCTGCTGAAGTTAGAGCTGTTGGAGGCAGTGGAGTGCCGGGGCGAATCAGAGTCCTGAAAAACAAAAACAAACAAAAATACTGTAAAAACACTGACACTACCTACAGAATATATTGATCAAGAGATAATAATCTTACCCCCGGTTTCACAGACGAGGCTTAAGCTAGTCCCAGACTAAAATGCATGTTTCAGCTGTTTTAACTGAAAGTAACTTGCACTGATATATCTTAAAATATGTCAGTGCCATTGTTTTGTACGGAAGCTTGTTTCCGCCACAGAATAAAAAATAAAAAAGGTAATTGCGACTTTTTTCTCACAATTGCGTGATATAAAGTCGCAATCACGTTTTATAAAGTCAGATTTGTGAGACATAAACTCGCAATTCTGAGCAAAAAAGTCCTTAGAATTGGAGTTTATAAATTTACATGTATAAGTTAATGTCACAGGGAACGAGTACTATCCTTTGCGATATAAGTCTCATTTACAGTTTTTCTTTCCATTCATATATTCTTTTACTTATTTAGAGTCATTTATTTTATATTTTTACACGGACATTTGCATGAATATAGAATATAATGTAGTTTGTTGCAAGTATGTAAGCACATGGTAGGAGTGTGTGAATATGCGTGGCAATAGATGTATGAATGTATACGTATAAGTACGTATAATAAGTACGTATAAAAATGTGTACGTATAAGTACGTATAATATGGATGTGTAAGTATAAGTATTGCACATATGTATAATTATATATGTACATATAGTTTCTCTTTATGTATGTGTATATATAGGTATATGACATGTATATGCATGTATAATTTGTATGCATTCTTATCAAGTTAATTTTACTTAGTTATTTAATTTGATTTATTTTTCTCTTTCCTCACGTTTATGTGTTCATACGTTTACATGTCTTTATTTACGTATTCAGTACAACATGTATGACTTGTACTTATAACATTCAGGAATGAGTGCAATGTGAAGTCTTGTTTCAACATACCGTATTGCTGTTAATGGTTCCCTGTTTATGTGAAGCTTACTAAAGGATTAAAAAAAGAAGTAAAAAAAGAATTGTGAAATATAAACTCGCAATTGCACGAAAATTTTTTGAATTGAGAGTTTATTTCTCGCAATTGTGAGTTTATATCTTGCAATTCTGACTTTATAACACGCAATAGTGAGTTTATGTCACAATTCTGACTTTATAACACGCAATAGTGAGTTTATGTCACAATTCTGACTTTATAATACGCAATTGCGACTTTATATCACGCAATTCTGACTTTATATCTTGCAATTGTGAGATAAAAAGTCGCAATTATCTTTTAAAATGTATTATTCTGTGGTGGAAACAAGCTTCCATAGTTTTGTCTCAAGATGCACACCAGTAATGTTTTTTTCTAAGACACGTTTATAAAAGCTACTTAAATTCCCTGAGGCCTAATCCTGGCTTAATCTTAGCTCTGTCTGTGAAACCAGGCCTAAGTCTAAAGTTTTACTTCAAAAACACAAGAAAAAGATGAAGACAATGGACATATGAAGCCTTTAACTACACTACCCTTCAAAATAAATGGGGTCAGTAAAGCTGCATTTATTTGATCAAAAATAAAGTAAAAACAGTAATATTGTGAAATATTATTGCAACTTAAAATAACGGTTTTCTCGTTTACTATATATAATAATAATATATATATTTTAAAATACAATAAACTTTTTTTTATTATTTCATATACATTTTGAAAATGGTTAAGCTGCTTAATATTTTTGTGGAAACCATGATGGGGGTTTTTTCAGGATTTTTTTTTTGTATAGAAAGTAAAAAATAAAAAAAAAATTATTTGAAATATAATTTTCTGAATAAAAGTGTTTATTTCTATAAAACAAAAAACATTCTGACCCCAAGCTTTTGAGCGGTAGTGTACACATGCAATGACTCCAAATCCTGTAAAGGTGCAAATAAACCCAGTCAAGTGGAATCTGACTTTCAGCAGTTTTTAAAAGAGGATGGCTCTGTAAACATGGCATGCTTGGTTCACCATTTAACATGCCGCCATCAAGAGAATATTAATCAGTCTTAAAAGGATAATTCACCAAAAAACATTAGACCCCACTAACTTTCATTGTATGGACATAAACAGTTGAAACATTCTTCAAAACATCTGTTGTGTTCTGCAGAAGAAAGAAAGTCATACAGGTTTGGAACGAAATGAAGGAGAGTATTATGATGACAGAATTTTCATTTTTGGGTGAACTATCCCTTTAGCTTACCCAAAATATAGAAATAGCACAAATGTGTATGTGCTAAACTACATGAATTGTGCTTGATTTAAGTGAAAGTTTACATTAAATACTATTGCATTTGCCTCCCTGACTGGCCTCTGCCATGTCTAAAAAGCATAAAAGTGGGGGTGGTCCTTTGATCCAGCTGCGTTTTTGAGAACAAGGCACTATAAAGTAACTCAAGTGCTCATCCTCAAAAACACACTCATGGCCAGGGGTTCGCAGTTGTCAACTCTGTGAAGACTCTTTGAAGCAAAGTTTTGGAGAAATTAGTGCATCAAGTCCAGAATTGAAACACACTCTTCACAAGTATGTTAATGCAAACACTGCAGCCTAAAAAAAGTCCACAACAAAATGCACACGTTGCATTCTAAGCTTTGCCACAAGGGGCGCTATAGTACATTAGCGTAGTCTTCTTCTACTGTTAATGTTTATCCCTAGCTACCGGAAAAATGACACATTTGGTTTAATTTTTTTCTCGTAAAAACATTCATTTTCACAGGGGCTGGCCAGCAGGAGCAGTTTGAAGGCGAAACATGCGGATGGAAGCTTGCCATTCCCAACTGAAGCTCTCTGCTTCACTTGTAGGCAGTGGACGATAAAGCTGTCGGCTTCAAAAATGGGCAGTGGGTAAAGCACTCTGCAGGGCTGCCAGAGTGTGCAGATGACAGCAGGCGTGTATGTGCGTGTGTGTATGTGTTTCACTGCAAACGTGTGGCGTTTACCTTCATCTTACTAAGCAGGGTCCTTAAAGCCCTTTTCAGATCAGGGGTCTTCTCCGAGGGCGATACCGCCTGCCACTGAGAAGGAAAGGGCAGACTGAGTGCCAGAACGGCTTCCACACTTGCTGAAGGAGAATGGGGCGGCCAGGGAGCGCAAAGCGCAGAGATATGGGAGATGACGGGTGAGATAAGGGCGCGGGTGGGTGGTTTGCTAAGGAGACTGTTGGATGTAGTGGAATGGGGCGGCAGGCATAAAGTGGAGTAAGCACTGACAAAGCTAGGTGGAGGGGAACACAGCGCATTTAACTTCTTTGGGAAAAAGACATTAGGAGTGTTCCACCATTACAGGCCTCATGGGAAGGGATAGGGCCAGCAGTTTTTATAAGTAAGGAGGTGTGCAGAAAAATCAAACGGGTTTTAGAACGACATGAGGGTGAATAAATTATCTTTTTTGAGTAGCAATAACAAGTCATCGACAGTCATTTCTGACTTTGTGTTTTCAAATATAAAAGTGGTTTATGAGAGAAAAGAGAGTCTAAAAAAGAACAAAAACTAACTTTTGTAGACAGTTTTTTCAAGGCCATGTTGCCTGAAAACTGTTTGTGCATAATAAGATGTGACTTCACATGCTTAACATTGGAAATTATATGACTTTATTTGCACATTCTGAATGTGATGTAAGCTAAAATGTATTGAAGATTTTAAATTAAATGTACAGTCTTTTTTATTGAAAACCATAAACATTACGCTATTGTACACATGCTTTGTCAATTCTCAATTGTCAAGCTTGCTGACAATTCTGTAATTTAGGTCAAATAAATGCTATTTTTTATGCATTAAATGGTCAATATACATAAAGATTGTGACGGCAGGAGAAAGCAATGTAGATGTTAATGGAAAAACTGTCACGACAGTGATAATTTTCTCCTCCACCATGGTTTAAGTTTATGGCCCGTCCAGATTATCTCCAATTATCTCCAAGTTTCCCAGTCGTAAATAAGACTTGTCAATCATGCCCAATTTCCGATGAGGAAACTCGTATTTACAATAATTCCTATAGCATGTGAAGTCAGCATAAGGCTCAAGTTGAATCGTCACGGATGCTATAGCTTGCTGGTCATGTGCCGTGACGTCCCTGCATAGTGCAAATCTGCCATTAATGTGATGAGGTAATGAAGATACCACAGTCCTGATTCCTCCTACATCATGACTCACCTCTCTATCAAACTGAGAGAGTGGCGCTTCGCCCACATCCATCCCCCCTCCTGACGACAGCGAGCTCTCCGAAGGTGATGTCATGGTCTGGCGTTTCGAGCTGTAGCTGCTGCTCGACAGCTCCCTCCTCAGAGCGCTGCCGTTCTGAGAGGACGTCCCTGATGAAGAGGACCAGAAAGAAGTGTGTTGGGTTTGAAACGCATGGAAATCTGAGAAGTATAACAGCAGCCACGTGTGTGTACTTACGCATTCCTAGACCACTGCTTGCGCTCATGGAACGACCAGGTTCGGCTCGGTTTTTGGTGATTGATGGGATGCTGACGGATCCACTGAACCCAGCACGATTGTCCTGAGCACGCACATTCTACAGGTTACACAGAGAAACACCACACACACACACACACACAAACAGAACAGTGACAGATGACACAAGCATGCAATGAGTGAGACAAACATGACTTGATGAAAACAAACTATGGGTTTCAATTAGGGGTGGGCGATATCTCGATATTTAAAATATATCGAGATATTTTTTTAACACGATATGGATTTTGACATATCGTATATATCGATATATTGTTTATATTTAATCCTGATTTCGCCACTTTGCTTGTTTGCCTTCTCTGTGCTGTGCTCGCCCCCGTCTCCTTGCTTTTGTTCCCCCTCACCTCGCGTGTTGTCTCATTCAACAATTGTCTCATCCGCAACCAGCCCGGAGGCTACAGAACTCCGAGTGTGTCGGCGCGCGAGCGACAGAGCACGAGAGAAACCGAGTTAACCGAGTGTGAGCATTAATTGCATTAGTAAATTGGTAGCCTACATACTACAATATATAATTACTATATAAGAGGCATGGAAGTTTGATTAATGGACTCCAGTAATCAGAAGGCTACTACAAACGTCTTGTTTTAAACTATTGCAGGGCTCGAACTTCGGCGCGGGTATTGCGCATAATTCTAATCATTCCCGCAGGTCTCCCTTTTATAATGCGGGAAATTCCCGCAATCGTAATCCACACAGATTATAAAATCAAATCATTCTTTTAACAACTATCTGCCAGACGCAATTTCACAAACAGCGTGAGTGTTCAGCGGTGCCGCTTCTTTCTCGTCTCTCATAATGTGTTGTGCAAGGCAAGCATCAAGAGCTGCGGCGATAACACACACTCGCGTTTAGGAGTCGGGACATGATGGATATTCACTCGCACAATTGGGCCAGCAGTGCATCGTGACTGAAGTTTACCATTTGCACGTCTTTTTAAGTCTTACCAGTTTAAACATTCAAGCGATTTTAAACTAATCAGTGCTCGCGCGCTCTGAGAGATTATTTTCTATGCGCACATTCATAGAAAATCCGCCTTAAGAACAGCTGGCCAGTAACAAAAGTTATTTTTCGCGGATTATATTGCTTTAACACGCAAAATTGTCAATTTCGGTCGTCGTGAGTATACTCTAAACATAGTCGGTTTTGTCTTTAATAAGCATAAAACGCATGCCAGTATAATGAACACAGGATCCGTGCACTAGCTCTTAAAGTGACGGCAGCCATATGTGTGTCATTCATTTTGTTGTCAATACAACAAAAGATAGCTTTAAGTTAAAGGAATCAGGATTATTAACCTATGTATTTAATTTATTCAGGACTAAAATACTACTCAGTGTTATTTTCCATTTGATTACTTTATTCAGTTTCTGTATATGAATCACGTGATTAATAATGATGACGAAATTCAGGGCCTGTGTTTAATTTTTCTCATTTGGTTACATTCTGTTATGGAAAATTAATTTTCTATTGATTGTAGGCCTATATTTTGAGTTGTATTCACATCCATTTTCCTGTAAAGATATCGAGATATATATCGAATATCGAGATATAGCAAAATATATCGAGATATATTTTTTGCTCCATATCGCCCAGCCCTTTCAATATAATGATCTTTATGATATCATACATATTATCAATACAGGATGCACGAATGACCCGACACATCAATAAATGTAAAGAGAAGACAGTGTCACAAGATCTCTCAGAAATTGTTTGAACATGCTGATTTGGTGCTCAAGAAACATTTCTTATTGTATTATGTTGAAAACTTTTCCTTTTTTTTTTTGCAGAAACATTTTTGGATACTTTTTTTCAGGATTCTTTGATGAATAGAAAGTTTAAAAGAACAGCATTTATTTGGATTACGGTATAAATGTCTTTATAAATGTCTTTACTGTTACTTTTGGAAAAAAAATGACAGTGACTTGATAAATGACCAGAAAACAAAGCAAAATGACCAAGATACAAAGCAAAATAAGGTTGTAAAAGCATATTCTGACTTCAGTATAAGCCAAGCTCAATAAACAGCATTTGTGACAATGTTGATTACCACAAAAATTATTTTGACTCGTTTTCTTTGAAAAAAGCTAAAATCAAGGTTACATTGATTCACTTACAGTGTAGGGGGAGGGGGCGGGGGGGGGGGGGGGGGGGGGATTTTTGAGATGGTCCTCACTGCAGAACACGAAATCCAGGGGGAGGATTTGGATCTCCCACCTTACATATACCTAACCCTACCCATCTCCGCCCCCTGATCCCTAACCCCATCCCTAATCCTACCCATCTCCACCCCCTGATCCCTAACGCCACCCCTAATCCTACCCATCTCCACCCCCTGATCCCTAACCCCACCCCTAATCCTACCCATCTCCACCCACTGATCCCTAACGCCACCCCTAATCCTACCCATCTCCACCCCCTGATCCCTAACCCCACCCCTAATCCTACCCATCTCCACCCCCTGATCCCTAATCCTACCCATCTCCACCCCCTGATCCCTAATCCTACCCATCTCCACCCCCTGATCCCTAACCCCACCCCTAATCCTACCCATCTCCACCCCTTAGATCTGGATCCAACTCCGCCCCCTGGATCTCGTGTACTGCAATGAGGTGCTACTGGAATTTTTGGAGGATTAAAAAAATTAATTCTTCTGTTGAGACGTGTACATTATTAGTTACACATAAAATGTAAATTGGCATATAAAAGGTTAGTGAGCCATTTCTCAGACAAAAATCGTGTTAACATGCATATTGTTTACATTTTGAATATTTCAACTAACAAATTGTCCCCTTTCACTTCCATTGTAAGTGCCTGACTTACAATTGAAGCAATGGTTATCTTTCATTTTATATAGAAAGGGAGTGAAATAAATTGTTGTAGTAATCAACATTATGCCACAAATGCTGTCGATTCAGCTTAACGTGTACTAAACCCAGAATATTATTTTAAAAGATGAGCCTCTCACCATTGGCAGATCTCGGAGGATCTGCATTCCATCTCCAGGGCCCATATGAGCCACATGGTTAAAATTAGTAGGATTTGAGATCAGCTTGCTCCTCCTCTCAGGATCTTTCAACATTTCTCTGAAAACACACCAGTTCATATAACAGCCTTAGGCCGTGTGTCCACCAAAGCGTTTTTAGCCAGCTGAAAACGCTAGACGCTCTGCTGAAAACGCCTAGCTGTGAGCGCATGAGAGCGTTTTGGAAGCGCAGCGTTTTTTCCGTTGAGACGTTTCGTTGCTATGATACAGAATATCCGCAGCACAGTTTACTTGTAACTGATTTCGCAGGTAATTTGTTTCATACTAAAAAAATATTTTTCATCCATTTTGTTCGGTTTGCTCTGCTGGTTGATGTCGTTGTACAGAAAGAATGTTGTGACAGTTGGTCGGTGTGATATTAGTCCCGCCCCTCCTCCACTGTGATTGGACGGTTGGTGAAAAGTGACAGTGATGAGCGCTGCGTTTTATCCAAAAGTTGAACATTTTTCAACTCTCGGCGACCAGTAAAAACGCCGGGCGCTCAGCGCTTCAGCGTGTAAAAAACGCCGAACGCTCAGCGCCTCGTTGCGCTCATGGCGTTTAAAAAACGCGGCGCTCCCATTAAAAAAACAATTGAAAACGTACGCCAGGCACGAGTAAAAACGCTTTGGTGGACACACGGCCTTACAATGACAATAATGACATTTTGCGAGTTGGAAACGAGTTGGATGTTGAAACCAGACCTAAAAAATTAAGCTACAAATGTCAAATGAACTTTGTCTCTAACTGTGTGTGTGTGTGTGTGTGTGTGTGTACGAAATTCTTGTCCGTGTGGGTACATTTTTTTGGTCCCCATAAGGAAAACAGCTTATAAATCAGACTAAATTATGTTTTTTGAACATTTAAAAATGCAAAAAGTGATGGGTAGGGTTAGGGTATAGAATATATTGTTTGTACAGTATAAAAATCATTATGTCTATGGAAAGTCCCCATAAAACATGAAAACACAACATGAGTGTGAGTGTGAGTGTGAGTGTGTGTGTGTGTGTGTGTGTGTGTGTGTGTGTGTGTGTGTGTGTGTGTGTGTGTTTGTGTGTGTGTGTGTCAATCACCTCCTCTGCAGCAGTCTCTCCTCCTCAGGAATACGGAATGAGAATCGTCTCTTATTGCTCATGTTGCGTACCATCTGCTTCCTGCTGTTATCACACACCTCAGGCACCACCAGTTCGTCCCCCTCTAAACACACACAAATAATGCATTATCAGACATATTATTCAAATCTGAATTATTCATTATTTCAAACGGCACTACTAAAACAAAGGCAGCAACATCAACACCCAACTGAAGATTTTTGTCACGATTTCTGCCTTTGACTGAATTGTGGAGTGACTGCTGTTACCTGCAGTCTTGTTTCTGAAGTAGATGAGTCTGACCGTTTCTAAGCCCAGGAGATTCAAAGAGCCATCCATGTTCAACGGCCGGACCTGCACAGAGCCAGTGAGATGCTGGGATTATTTAGTCATTGATCTCATTCATCAAGATGACTCATTTATGGTTTCAGTAAATAAAAAAATAAAAAAATCAAGCATTTTTTTCTTCATTGCAATTATATATTATATGTATAGTTTTTTTTTTAGTCCACTTTTTTTTGTAAACAAGTGTATTAACAAATCGACATAAACACAACTTTGAGCACAAGGCTAATGGTAATGTCTCATTAAACTGCAATATTGTCAACTCTTATTGTAACTCAATATTGCTTTTCTGAAGGTATATATATGAACATTTATTAAACGCATGTATTCATTACATTTTTTTGAAATGTATTCATTTAGAGATGGCAGAATTCAATTTATTAACACTGGTTATCTAAGAGAATGTTAAAATTGCAAGTACTTGAAATATTTATGAAATATAAATCTACTCAGCATATTTATTTTTAAAAATATTTAAAAATATAGAATGTTTTGCAAGCTTCAGCAATGTGCAGTTGGTCATTTAAAAAAATATTTTTAAATAAATCTCCAATGCTCACCAAGGCTGTATTTATTTGATTAAAAATACAGTAAAAACAATAATATTGAGAATTATTATAATTTAATATTCAAAGATTATAATTATAATATATATTATATTTTAAAATGTAATGTGCTGCTTAATATTTTTGTGGAAACTGTGATATATATATATATTATATATATATTTTTTTTTTTCAGGATTCTCTGATGAATAGAGTTCAACAGAACAGCATTTATTTGAAATCAAAAATATTTGTAACAATGTAAAAGTCTTTACTGTCACTTTTAATAAATGTAATGTGTTCTTGCTAAATAAAATTATTTATCAAAACTAATGTTTCATTCAATTTATCATTTTGAATGGTGTTGTATATATATTATTTCCTGTGTCAAATGCACCCAGCTGCAACCATTCAGGTGTGCAACAGATGTTCATTTATTATAATTTAATATTTAAAACTCTTCTGAAATTGAAAAAAGCAAACCTTTTTAAGAGGAATGGTCTGAATCCATTCCATAGTGTTCACATCAAACACATCCACTGCATTTTCACTGTAGACTGACAGGTAGGGGGCGTTGTAGCCTGTGAGATATAAAACAGCCACAAGGTCAATCCAACCAAACCTTTTCACCGCCTCACCGTTTAAGCAGAGGATTAACGTCTCTCTACTCAGTACTCACAGCAGGCGGTGGGCGTTGCGGGCCACATCAGCTCCTGCTGGCGTGAGCGTCTGCCATGTGTGTCCACGTACACTGCAATTTTGCTGAAGCAGAGCAGCATTTCTTTGTTAGAGATTTCCACTGCGCAAAGGGCATCCAGGTTTTCAGCCTTAATAAACGCCAATGTGGGGTCATCTGGATGGAGTAAGCTGGCTGGAGGGGTTTCTCCATGCAAACTGTACCGCATGAAGCCCGCTTGGAAGCCTACACATAATTGCTGGCTGAACAGTGCCATCCACTGGATAGTTCCTGGAGCCTGAGATTTAGAAAGGGCTGTTGATGTTGCTGTGTGTGCTAACAAAGACAATCTTTGCGATCTAATGAGTATGAACACTAATTACATCTGAATATAATTGATCAGAAAAAAAGAGGTTTTGAATACTGTACTTGTATGTCCACGAGATGGCAGTGGCGGGATTTGCTCTTGTTAATTTCGAAGCAGGTGATCTGCCGTTTAATGGCGAGGCAGAAGCAGACGCCATTGCGCACCACACCGGACACCAGCGCCTGGCAGTTTTTAGTATCTGCCACCTTAATCTTGTCAATCTCCCTCCCGTCGAGCCCCGTCATGGGGACCAGACACACTTGTCGGTTCCTGCCCGAGATGACGGCCAGGAGGTGCTCTGTGGGCATCAGTTCTATGTGATGCACTTTCTTAATATCACCCACGCGAACGATTTCTAGCAGAAAGAACAAAAATGTTCAGTGGATGTTTGTCTTGCATCAGTTATTTCAGTTTAAATGTGTATGCGGTTCAACAACGATAGTGGTCTACTGTTAAAAATGCATAAAGTGCCACAAAGCCAAGAAAGAACTGTTAAATCTAACAAATCATTAATTTTGATAGTTTACAACCTTTAATAGATTTGTAATCTATGACTGCTCTAACAAATAGAGAAAAATAGCATTATTTTGCTGCATTTATCCAATGAAAGGTTTACTCAGTCTGTCAAAATGACAAATAATGGTTATTTTTAGTCCAGCCTCTGAGACAAAAAAATTCAATCGTGCTCCATTTTAATCTGTTGTTTTCATTTTCCAAAGAATTAAATAAACGTCTAGCATTCCAATGCAATAGACCCATTTTTCCAGTCAAAATGATGGAGAGCATGTCAATGTTTTTAACATTTGGAAATTACAGTAATTTCTGAGTAAACTTATTATGCTGAAGCAACCTGGTAGCTCATATATCAGCATTTCTGGGGTTTGAATCAACAAACTTTCAGTCACCAGTCCGGATTTTTGACCACTAAACCACACAACCAAGTTTAATAGACAACGAAGGAGTAAAAGGATTAAAGATTGAAGTTTTACCATCTTTGGTGACGTGGATGACGAACAGGCCCTCCTCATTCCCCAAAGCAACCCGCTCATGATCTAGACACAATCAAACATTTTCGGTTAAACACTAGATAAGGGAAATACTATTTGTTCTTTAACATTGTGTCGATCTGACAAGAGTTTTGTGAGTCTCTGTACCTATAATAGCAGCAGTTTGGGTGGTTTTGATGAGAGGAAGCGTGCTGTCGTAGGCTTCTTTAGGCACGTAGACGAAACGCTCCTTCAGCTTGTTTTTTCTCAGGATGCGTTGCAGCTCGTTCAGAGCGCACACCCACTTCGTCCTCTCTTGCTCGTTGTCGGCCAGGATCAGGATGCACGTCTTCTGACTGGGGGAGGCGGACAGCTGAGATGCGGTTACCTGTGGAATGAATGGATAGCACTGCATATAAGACAATTCAAAAATGTCTTTAAATTAAATAACAAAATTCTGCATAAGACTATAGTGAGTCCAGACATGATTATTACATAATCACCTGGTTGCTATTATTTGATATGTGATATTAAGAAAATCACAATTATTGTGTGGTGATGCGTGATGAATGATGAAAGTGAAGAATTTAGCACAGAAATAAATTACTATTCTGCCCTACAAAGGGACAAAATAGTGAAAACATTAACACTTGAACTGAGAAGAATGGCAGTCTGTCACAAGACAGGCCAAAGTTTTAGAGATCAGATTTTTGCTAGAACAAAATTTTGACAAAATACTATATTTTGCTTTTCTATGCCAATAACAACAATTATGAAAACTAGAAGAAATTGTTGCGCTCTAAATTGACAAAAAATCCTTTTTCCTCAGGTGCGTAGAGCCAAGGGAATATTGAAAATGAGCAAGAAGGTTGCTGGCCGCACACATGATTCAGTCCAGACTACAGAAGTCTATCAAAACATTTATTTTATTTTATGAATTGCATCGTGCAAAAAGTGCAAAGTGAATTAAAAACAAATGGACAGGAGCAGACGTTTCAGCACACTCCTGGAGCACTGAAGATAGCAATGTGCAGAAACTTCTGCTCCTGTCCATTTGTTTTTAATTCACTTTGCACTAAAATTTGATAGACTTCTGTAGTCTGGACTGAATCCAGTGTGCGGCCAGCAACCTTCTCGCTCGTTTTCAATAACAACAATTATATAATATATAATAATTATATTGCAGTAATATTCTAAATAAATATTTGTAAGCACTTTTTTAAATACTGTTGTTCATATCAGTCTCTCCCTGTACAATATTTGATAACAGCCTTAAAGAAATTTTCAAAAAGAAATTCAAATTATTTTTCTCAAGGTAGACTATCCACTAATGTTCAAACGTTTGGTGTCAGTAAAAAAAAACAAAAATTTAGATTGATACTTTTATTCAGCTAGGATTTATTAAATTGATGGCAATAAAGGCATTTAGAATGTTACAAAAGATTTCTATTTTGAATAAAATAGAAATAAAGTGCATGTATGCTCTTACCCTAAAAATACAGGGTATATCCTTCTTGTTAGCATGAATGACATCAGACTCCAGAACCGAGCTGGCGGAAAACTCTTCATCCCTGCTCAGGATAGAGAGTCAAGCGCAATATATTGAAATATTTCATGACATATTTGACTTAAATATTTGAGCATCACATTTGAATGAACACCTCGCTCACCTCATGTCGATGACCTGGTTAACTATGACACCAGGCTGGGCACCTTTCCCTTCTCCAAGCTCATACAGGAAGAGTTTGAAGTCACAAACCACTGCCCATACCCTCTGCCAACCCCTTTTCACCCCTGTGGGCTTTGGCACCTGAAAAAGACAGTCGAATCTTCATTTCAAGGCAGCCAAAACAAATTGTGGCTAAAAGTGTACAGACAAACGAACAACAATGGGAAAGGTAGTAGGCAATGTGTCTAATTCAGATGACCATACTAAAGACAGCAAAGCAAATAGTGAAGAATATATGAAGAGCAGAACAAATCTTACCCTAAGATGTCCCTCATATGCAGTCCCAATGCCCCTCAGAGCATCAATTCCCAATTTGCCCTTTGTTTGGTCAGGTGCGACGGGGCACACAGAGGGGGCTTTATCAGCACAGGTGACGTGACAGGAGAAGTTGCAGACTATAAGGAGAGATGGAGGGCACAGGCACTGAGTATTACAAAGCATTTTGTCAATAAGCCATCCTGGGATTGGGGCATATTTAATAAACCAATGTGAAAGGAAAGGTTCGCCCTTATTTTATTCCAAACTGGAATGACTTTATTTCTTCAGTGGAACACAAAAGGGAAAATTTTAAAGGATTATATTGGTTATCCTTATGCGTTCCTCTGAAGAAATAAAGTTGTACGGGTTTGATCATCTCGAAAACTAAAAATGTCATATTCGCTGTTGTCATATTCACATATCACACCCAGCTTTCATTTCTCTTGTGTTGTCCTCACCTTCACAGGCGCAGCCCTGACGGATAAGTCCCACCATGAGAGAGGTGCACTGATTACATTTGGTGGGAACGGTGAAGGACTTCACAATAAACTGGTGCGCCTTGGGCTGTGGAGCAGAGAACATCAGCAATGTAATTAAACCATTTCCATAGATGTCCCAATTGAAATAGACAAATGCTTAATATGAGTGTTGGACAAAATTCCTATAGCACACAATACAAGTCCTTTTATATCACAGTAACAGTATATATTACAATACAGTTGTTTTTGCTGGAAATTCATGAAAAAAAAAGGTTTTTGGATAATCTGCTAATATTATATAATGAAGTTCTGTATAGTACAGTACAATCATTACAGCATAAAAATATTTTGCAAGACATTAATACGAAATTAGAAATTACTACTTTGTTATGCATTACATTAAGATTTCCATTTCAAATAGGTGCTGTTCTTTTTTTAACTTTCTTTCATCAAAGAATCCTAAAAACAACGTATTGTGTTTTCCACTAAAATATTAAGTAGCAGAACTGTTTTCAACATTGATAATAATAAGAAATGTTTCTTGAGCACCAAATCAGCATATAAGAATGATTTCTGAAGGATCATGTGAAGCTTAAGTCACTGAAAATTCAGCTTTGCCATTACAGGAATATAAAATATGATATATATATATATATATTAAACGGTAGTGTAATCTATACAGGTTGATACATTGTACAGATTATGTAAATAGTCGGATATCGGCATAGCACCCAGATATTGTGGCCTAAATCCCTTGTGTTACCTTAGGTGATGAGTGTCCCAAGCTTCCATAGCCTGATCTGCCTGTTGGAGTCTGAAGACTACGTGACGTATGGTCAATCAACTACGAGAAGGATACATTAACATATCAGTGCATTTTATTATATAAACAAAGGTCATGGTAAGACTTAAAGTGATGAGTAAAAATACTGTCATCATTTACTCATGTCGTTCCAAACCTGTATGACTTTCTTCTGTGCGACACAAAAGCATAAACGTTAAATGCCGGATACAGGCTGGATCACTTTATTTATGGAAAAGATTGGCCAGTACATCTGCTTTTGTGCTTCACAGAAAAAAATTGCATATTGGTTTGGAATGACATGAGTGTGAGTAAATCCTAACAGGATTTTCATATTTGGGGTGGACTATCCCTTTTAAGAGTCCAAATGATACCTCAATAGGCTCCATGTCACTGGTGGTGGACGGGGACCGTGAGCGTGATATGCGGCGAGATCTTGAGTCTTCATCTCTTGATGGAGTGTTGGAGGGAGTGAAATCTGCTGAGTCAAGCTAAGAAGCAAAAAGATGATAATTATCTTTACTAAAGTTGTCATACGGCACAGACTGTGACATCAGAAGAACATGCCACCATGCAGCAGAGCGAAACACACACAAAGCGATACATTAAGCCTATAAAGCTTATCATGACAATAACACTTTTACTGGAATTACACCCTCTAAGCAGAACAAAGCATGTGCACCCAGGCTCCAAACCAATGAGTAAAGGGACAATATTTCCACTACACAGAGACCACACACCAACTATACATGCAAGACAGAATGAAGGGCAGAAACACATGGAACTACATGGAAACCATATCCACACTTTATGAGGGTCTTACATTAAAGTGATCTGTAAAAGATTAGTTCACTCAAATTTAAATTCTTTCATCATTTACTCAGCATCATGTCTTTGCAAACCTGTATGACTTCTGTATAACTCTTCAACAAACAATTATACCACTGCTCAAAAGTTTGAGGTTGGTAAGATTCGTTAATGAAGTCTCTTTATTTGATCAAAAATACAATAAAACCGTAAAATTGTGAAATATTATTACAATTTAAAGTAAAGTTTTCTTTTATAATACATTTTAAAATGAAATTTATCCTGTGATGATAAAGCTGAATTTTCAGCAGTCATTCATCCAGTCTTCAATGTCACATGATCCTTCAGAAATCATTCTAATATCATCATCAAAGTTAAAAACACCTATGCTGCTTAAAATTAGTGGAAACCGTGATCTTTCAGCCAACTTTGATGAATAAAAAGATCAAAAGAACAGCATTTATTTTAAATAAAAATATTTTGTACCATAATAAATGTCTTTACTGTCAGTTTAGATCCATTTCAAATTCAATGCATCCTTGCTGAATAAAAATATCTTACCGACCCCAAACATTTGAATGGTAGTGTTCTTCCCCTTTTCCTCATATACAAAGCTATCCTATAGCTTTTTATAGTTTGACAGTCTTTATATGAAAAAGAGGAGAGTACAAACTCTTACTAACTTCTGTGAACCAAGGAACAAAGTACCGGGTAAGCATCATCTTGAGGGAGAGTAAATTATGAGAAAATGTTCATTTTCTAGTAAACAAACTTATTTTTGTCTTTATAATCTTTACACGTGAGCAAAAGTTAAAATTAGATCCAAATATTGAGCCACGTAAATTAATTCTATATCCTTCCATTTAAAAGGGCTTTTGAAATGTACTATAAAAGCACATGGTATGGAAAATAAACCACCAAGTTTAATTAACCAACCCAGACAAAAACCCAGTTTCTCTGAAGTACATTCATAAGGTATATATGCATTTGGATAGATGAAAGGAAGTTTCCAAAACACATTTCAGATGCATTTAAGGTCTCATGCAATACAGATATCACCACAATCAGCTGCCACCGATGCAGTTTGCAAAACAAGCCATCACAACCACAGGAGAAAAACAATATGACAGGGGGATTTTACTATGACGCAGGACAAAAGTGGGTCTTACACGTCTGGTTTTGCTTCCGAGACCAAAAGAGGGTGACCGCTTCATATGGAGAGAGAAAGAAGATGAAAAGAGAGTCAAACTTCATGTGCAATGTCAGCTGGATAGGATAAAGGCCTGGGACGGCAGGCAGGGAAACGGAGGGAAGGGAATGAGGGCATGTAAGAACACGTCTAATCTGTGGATGGATTTCTGAGTATAGTTTACATGCACAAAGAAATCACTTCACATTAAAGAACTCCAAGGAGTCACTACCAAAGAGACTGAGGTGGATGTAGGATCAGATAAGAAAAACAACATCAGTAGAATGTAAAATTCTGAAAAGTCAATCCTGAAAAGTATCAATAAAAAGGATTTGAGTAGTGAAAAAATTACTTTATTTCCCAATTTGTCTGTACTGTATATTTTGAGTATTGTGCTATTAGCTTGGCAACATGCTAATGTCAAACTCAATTAGAATCAATTGTGAGTTGAGTTTTCTGTTGTTTTCTGATATTGTTCCTGTAGGAGTTTCATAACGGGAGTAGGGCTTTTGTTTGTCTGCTTTTAAATGTGTAAAATGAATTATTTAAAAAAAGACATTGATTGCACTATAACATGGCTGAAGGAGAACTTACATCTTCCCAAAATTCAACTAAAGAAGATGAAGAGGAAGAAAATGAGTCCTGATTGGCAACCGGATGAAAAAAAAGCAAAAACAATAACCATACACATTATGACAGGAGAAAAAAACTGAAAATAATAAAACAGATCAGGAGGTATCAGAAGAATACAGAAATCAAACAGGAAAAAAAAAATAATAATAAAGAAAAATTATGCAAATGATTTCTTTGGAAACCAGAGCGACCTTCTATGCAGATGTTCTAATAAACAACACCTGGGATCTCAAACTTACATCAAACTGATCCAGAGCAGAAGTGGGCGCATTGAGGAATGCCAAGAAGGAATTCTGTGAATCCTGATGCTTCACACCTACAAACGACAGAATCTTATTAAAAGATCTATTTAAATTTCACAAAGCCAGAACTGTTGTTAGCATGTGACACTGTGAAAAGCAATGCTGCACCGATCATGTGGATATTTGATTGTCACCAGTGTTGTTTATTGTTACCTACATTCATTTTTGTTAATTGAAATAAGGCGGATATAGAATAAAATAAACAAAACTTAAACAAAAATAAAATGTTTGTATGGCAACTAACAAACAAATAAGTTGAAGTACAAAAACAAAATTACTCAAACTAAACTGCAATAAAATGAATTTATGCTGTATTAAAAACCCAGAACAAATGACAAAAAAAACCCAGAAAATATGTGACCCTGGATCACAAAACCAGTCACAAGTAGCACAGGTATATTTGTGGCAATAGCCAACAATACATTCTATGGTTCAAAATTATCAATTTTTCTTTTATGGCAAAAATCATTAGGATATTAAGTAAAGATCATGTTTCATGAAGATATTTTGAAAATTTCCTACTGTAAATATATAAAACATTTATTTTTTGTGAGTGAATGCAGCACAATCACAAACATAAACAACTTTGTTCTTCGATTTTTTTGCACCCTCTGATTCCAGATTTTCAAATAGTTGTATCTCGACCAAATATTATCCTATCCTAACAAACCATATATCAATGGAAATCTTATTTATTCAGCTTTCATATGATGTATACATCTCAATTTAAAAAAATTGACCCATGTGATGTGGTCCAGGGTCATATATGTAAATAACACAGATTGTTACCTCTTCTCAGCCTCAGCTCCTCTGTCTCCTTCCTCAGCCTCTCAATTTCCGCCAGCAGCTCCTGGTTTGTACTATCGGATTCTTGCAATTTGCTGTGAGACAAAAATAACAGACCGAAAACTATGTCACTCTATTTAAATTCACCTCATTCGAGAAGAGAGTGTGAACAAAATAAACTAAGTTTAGCCTATTCACCAAATAAAAATAAAAACCGAAGAGAATCTCAAAACTATTCACATAAAGGGTGAAACAAATATTGTTTCTATTGAGCTGAAAAAACAAACAAACATTAGACTTTAAATCAAATCAGCAAACAAAATCTCTGTGGTTTCAGTAGAGTTGAGCAGACCTATGTTGATATGTGTGGCCTCACCATTCCGTGGCAATGCTGGATGCTTTGACTTTGTTAAGCTCGTCCTGGATGGACTGTTTGGCTCTGATCTCGGCATCCAGCGCAGACTGCAGCTCCAGACGCGCAGACATGTCTAGCTTAGCAAAGCGCCTCATCTTCCACGGCATGTCCTGACAAAGCGAGAGAGACCCACCACATCAGAAGAGCAGGAATAAGAGGATATGCGTTTCATCCTTATCTGATGTGTGCGTGTGTCTCACCGTTCCTCTAGCTCCCAAACTGGTGTTCCTGAGCCCTTCAAGCTCCTCTGTCATTTTTGTGGCCAGAGCTTGGAGGTAACCACGAGCATCCTTCTCGTCGCTCACCCTGCACAGATTAGCTTAGTTCAGCTTAACCTCGAAATTCAAGGTGCTCTGTCTAAGCGATGTTAGGTGACATTTTTTGTTGACGTTCGAAGTATTGTCAAACAAAACGGAGGATAGCTCGACCCTCCCTCCTCCTCATCCCGTCCCCTCCCCCTCCCGTTGCATGCGCACTAACCCCCCAACCCCCAAATCATTCTTGTCGGTTATTGGCTGGAACACTGTTTGTTATGTTTCGTGGTCCAGGTTGGACCAGTTTGTTTTTGTTGCTGTTTGTGGAGCCTAGGCTGTCTACAGAGGCCGCGTTTTTTTAGTGTGTTCAGGGGACAGGCAGCTAGCGGATAGTCAGAAGATGTTTGCTGTATGTGACAAAAATGTTTCGGCCTAAAAAACGCGTGACATCGCTTAGAGCACCTTTAAGCATAAAATCTGTGTTCTTATTTACAACTGAAAAGTGATGAATGGTCACAAGATGGCCACTTGATCTGCATCATCTGCATGATCTGGATCTGCACAGTCATGCAGATCTGGGTAAAGGTCACCATCATCATGTCTTTCTCTGCAGGTGTGATGGCAAGCGGGTGCAGGTAGGGGGCTCCACTCACCACTGGATGATCTCAGTTATCTGGGCCTCCCAGTGGGCAACGCTTTCCTTCTTATCAGCCAACTCTCTCATCTCCTCCTCCAGCTGCCTGTGACTACTGCTGAGCTGCTCATACATCGAGTTTAGCTGAAGAGAGAAAACGAGACCACAATGAGACAGAAGAGTACAGATGGGAGGAAGCAGACAGATGGAGATTGGATGGATAAAACAGCCATTGCTATGTGGTTAAGGTGGTTCTCATTGTTATCAGTGTTGTTATTAATTGAAACCATTAAAATCCATTTAAACTTAAAAAAAAAAAAAAGACTTCAAATGAAATCAGGAAACTAAATTTCTCTAGTTTGAGTAGATCTACTTGATATGTGTGGTCTCAGCATTTTGTGGCGATGTTGGATGCTTAAAAAACAAATGAAAATAGAATGTTGTTTGCTAGATGGTTACTCACTGGCCCAGTCAAAAGAGCTCAGTCACAAGGCTCTTGAAATTGGAAAAGTCCCTCCTTAGGTATAAATCTATGGCATTTTTTTGCTTGTTTTATCGTCTGAGTGATTAGAAAAGTAATAGCGCATTTTGTAGTTTATCCCATCCTTGATCAACCTCACTAGCTTTTATCAGTTCTATCTGTTCCAACTGCCAACTTTTGTGCCAACTGCGGTCAAAATGTTAAATAGAGATTTTCTAAATTGATGTAGGATGCTGCTAGTTTTTATTATTGGGATGTTGCTATATTCTAATTATTGTATGTTATGTACTGTGTTGTGTGTGATCGAAGTTGTGTACTGACCGTGTCATGTTGTCCACGACAAATTTCCCAAGAATGGGACAATAAATTATAAAGTAAAGTAAAGTTCTGTAGGAAACTAAACGTTATCTAAAAGACAGGAAGCAAACATACTTTGTTACGGCAAGTCTATACAAAACTTCTGTAGTGCTCTTTTTATTGGAATGTGACTTTATTTAGGCATTTTACATCCTGGTTCAATTCCTTCCAAATGCCATCATTCTTGCTTATGTTTCGAAACCCCATCCAATCTGGCATTTGACATGACAGCCCTGGCTGGCTGCGCTATTGTTTTAAACTGCCTTTGTGTTTGGGGTTTCCAGGTATTTTTTACGAAATGAATAATGTTTAATATCCATGCCATCAAAAATAAGGAGCCCTTTAATATCTGATATGTCCAAACTTGCAGAATTATTTGACTGGCTGATTCCGATTTTACCTCGCGGTCCAAAGTAAACAGTGGCTGAGCCAAGAAGCAATTTTGTTTAAGTGTGGTTACAATCTCTCTCTAGGAATGTTAGCGGATTTGGGGAGAGGGTGCCAAAGGAGAAGGGGGGATTTCAGACAGGATTTGATGTATACTTTTTGTGATGAAAGAGACACAGGCTAATGAATATCATGAACATTGGCACATGTGTTTTTGAGAGTGATACAGATCTCACCTTCTCCACTTCACTTGTAAGCTTCTTGTTATCGTCAGTCAGATGGGTTCTCTCCCTCTCGTACTTCTGCTTGTTCTCTGTTTCAAACTCCTCTCGCTCAGTTTGGCTATTGCAAACACAATAATGAACATGATGAAGTTTGCAGTACAGCTACATTCTGCTACCACGGAGCTTTTTACCACAAACGATTCAATGTAAAGAAACAAATCTACAGGTTTACATTGGTGACTCAAGAAAAGCTGGTGGTTTCATCTTCAAATATCATGACCATGAACGATTCGCAGACCACAGTTGGTTATTATAGTCAATACATTCAAATTCAGATTTATGCCTCTAAACGCCATCTCTCTGGTCCTTCAGTTTGGCCTTTCTGTGTAAGTGGGCAGCAGACAAGAAAAGCTGTGAAAATCTACTTATGCGAAGGCTGAGTGTGCCAGCAGCTGAATAATTACATGATGGAAAGAATGAGTTTTGATATAGTTATACATGTACCTTTCTCTGCGGGTTTTCTCCAGTTTGTCTTTAAGCATGAGAATCTCTTTCTGGAGTGTGAGGTGTTGACCCTCGGCATCACGTAGCAAGTTTTTGAGGCCCTTCAGCTCAGTGCTGTGGAGCGTCTCCCGACGACACAACTCCTCCTCGTAATGTACGTTCTTCTTCTCCAGCTCTGCCCGCACGCGCATCAGCTCCTGCTGCTGGTCTGAGCTCGGCGCTGCGTGAGACGGCCCAGTCTGTTTCAACTGCTGCAAGAGGACCAAGACATACATATGTGAGTGTAAAGTAGAAGAAAAGACTAACGCTGCGTCCGAAATCGCATACTTGAATTTACTATGCAACGTTTAAAAATATACGCTATAGTATGAATATGGGTAGTATATAGAAATCCGTACGTACTACATCCGAGATGTTGTTCCTGTCACGTGACCTACCAGCGTCAGGTTGCGTCACTTCACTTCCATAAATCTCCTCCCATGGCCTCACGGGATAGTAAAGTGTCCATCGAATGCGCACTTCAGAATCTCGGCGGTAGTAGTAGGTCATCCGGGGACTTTTCACTGACTGTTTTTAGAATACTATGTATTCGGACATACTACTCTTTTAGTGCACTTTTTTTACATACTATATAGTACAGCAGTATTTGATTTCGGACGCAGTGTAAGAGAACAAGAGAAAAGGGGGAAATGAGTGTCTAAAAGTGTTTTTTATATGTAAAAGTCATATTTCATATTCCATTTATTAATGTATATTAATGTAGTCATGCACTGTCACCTTCATTCCCTCCAGCTCCTCTTCTAGTTGTCTACTGAACTGTTCAGTTCTCTCTCGTAGCTTTCTCTCCTTCTGAGCTTCTGCCGTCTGCTCCTCAGCCTGGGCCTCCAACTGAAAGGACAACACCACAAACATCAAATATGCAGCCATCAAATCCACAAATATGATACCACTGATGATTGCTGGGGCACTGCATCAAAATTAAAGCCATATTGACTTTGCTTATATAGTGGTCTAACACCAGTAAGTTCCAGCAGGGTGGGTGGTTTTGAAGTATATACCTCTTTGCGCATTTTCTCAGCCTTGCGTATCTCCAGCCGCAAAGCCTCTAGTTTTTGCGACACTCCTTCCATCTCCTCTTCTTTGTCTCGGAACTGTCGGCTCAGCCGCTGCTTTTGTGAGCGCAGATCACTCAGCTGTTCGTTTAGCTCAGAGAACTCCTTTATGGCCATCTTCTTTTGACTGTGAGCCTCCTTCAGCTCCTTCCACTGAGCCTTCACCTTCTCTCCCAACTCCAGCAGCTCCTTCACATATTCATTACAGAATCAACGTTGATATAACTTACATTCTAGGATCAACTTAAGTCATTTAGTTAAAGAGTAATCTGTTAAATGGCACAGTTAAAGATTAAAGTCAACTCAGGTCACTGTGACCATTAAACTATGCCAGCAAATCATAAACAAGGGAACTAGTTGGTCATTTATGGCAATTACCCTGAAAAAAACACAGCATAGAGCAGCTTAAAGTGGCTAGCTAGTCTTCCAGTCTAGCAAAGCTGTCTGTTTGGATGGTTTTTAGAACACATAAAACCATCTAAGACCAGCAAATCTCAGACAATATTAAGCTATGGATTAAAAGCCTAATTTTTGGATTTAAAAGGGGCCATGACATTTAAAAAAATATATATATTACTAGGGCTGGGGTAAACGATTATTAATTAAACGATTAGTCTGTCGATTATTTTATCGATTAGTCGACTAATCTAACGACTAATTGAACGATTCTTTTTTGTAACATGGAAATTGCAGGAGTGCACATTCAATGCACAACAATTTTGATCTGGTTCTTCCAGAGTATCTACACCAGTGGTCTCAAACTCGCGGCCCGCGGGCCATTTGCGGCCCGCAGGGTGATATTTTGTGGCCCCCTACTTGACATTAAAGTTTAATGTTAGTGCGGCCCGTCGTTGCGTGTGCCGTGTAAAAAAAAAAAAAAAAAAAATGTATCCCTCATGGGCTACCATAGATAGTCTCGTGACACGGTGGGTTTGTTGTCAATAGTTGTCATAGACAACCGCGAAGTACAAACATACTGCGCCTGGAAAAAATTAGCGCGTCGCTTCAATTATGAGCGCGCTTGCCGCGCGCCTACATTTGAAATAACGAACTTGAGCGCGCAAAATATGTGAGCGCGATATGTGAACGGCCCCTTGGCAAGCTGCCACCAATCAGGCCACGAGCTACTGATAGCTCGCGAGCGACGTGTTGGAGAGAGACCCTGCTCTAAAACAATGTGAGAATAATCATTTTGAGCTTGTAATATGTGTCCAACAGGTTCATAAGAAGGTTTGCTTTGATTTGTGCAGTCAGTAATTTGAGACACTATACATGTGTAGAAAGAATTCAATAAGACGGGCAGACATGACTGCAAATATTTGTATTTCAAAAGCAATAATTGTTTTTCTAAGTATAATAAAAGGAAATGTGCCTTCCAAAAAAAAAAAAAACATTCAATATCATTAATGTGTTGTATAAAGAAAATAATAAGGACATAAGCAAATATAAATATCACAAATATGTGTTATAGACAAAGAAAGTTTGTAAAAATGAACTTCAACTGTCAGAAGGACAGCTCATAAAGAACCAATCATGAACAGAAAGGAATGTTCAAATTCAGAGGAACAGTTCAGAGGAAACGTTAATAATAAATATTGAGAAGATTGGATCAGTTGTGCTCCTTTTTTGGAATACTTGAATACAATTTTTTTGTGGAATACTTGATGCGGCCCAGCCTGACCCAGACTCTACCTCCAGCGGCCCCCAGTTAAGTTGAGTTTGAGACCCCTGATCTACACTGTAAAATGTTTGGTAGGCTACTCAAATGAGCCCTATCACACTTGGATGTGGTGCTCATTTTAATGTTTTCAGTGCTCATAAAATCATCCGGACTGATTTTTCGGTTTTGTTGACGGGGGTGGGGTTTACATGCGCTTCATAAGGCACACACGCACATTTGCACACACACGCGCAAGGTCTCTCGCTCTCTCCCTCGCTGCGCGCGCTACACGGTTTGGAGCTCGCGAGCTCTAGATTCCGGGAGATTTTAACTAATTTGCGGTCATCAGGGAGCCGCTATCACTATGCGGGAGACTTGGGATGTCAACTCCATTTGACAAAGAGCGCAAATAACGACACCTTTACGTTTGGGACTAAATTTGAAGTATTCCCATACCTTTGATGATTTAGTGCGAGCTTGGTTTTTTTAGGACTTTTTCTTTTGTTGGGACTTTTGCATGGCTTTGTTGTGAATTCTGTGAAGAGGTTGCTGTTTCGTCCTCGATTCTGCAATGTTTCGGTCTCCCACGTGTGTGTGGCGAGCTGTACCGCCGGGAACGGTGCAAAAAAATAAATACATAAATAAATAAAGAAGCGTCGACAAAAAAATATGACGTCGACGAATTTTTGACGTCGAAGCGTCGACGTCATCGACGCGCCGCTACAGGCCTATATATTACTACCGTAATTCCTCAAATAAAGACCGGTATTCAAATAAACGCCGGGCCTCTGATAGTGGGCGGGGGCGTGGTCAACGCGGACAAATAAAGGCCGGTCTCAAATTAAGGCCGGGGAAAAAATAGTGTGAATAGGTACACTTTAAATGAGTGTACACTCAAAGACGGACGCGCTCAGCACTTGTCATATATCACAACTATTCAGTGTTTTTAACCACATGTTTATTTTAGGTTTCAGACATTTAAATAGATATGATTTATAGCAAAACAATAAATTTATAGTTTGTAAAATACACAATGGTGTCTATGGAAGCAGCAATAACAATCCATTCAAATATATTTGGCGACGTGTTTTATTCATATCAGATACACAGTGTGTAAGTAACTATAAAGTTTACTCTATTCTTCTCCCAGTTCACCGGCCACTTACTTTCATGTATTTCGGGAGAAACTGAAGAATTCACACGCTCTAACTTAACAAATACAACAGGAGTCTCCGAACTGCGGTGCCCATCTCACGTTACAGATCAAGATCATTTATAAAGGGTTTTAAACGACAAAACAAACTCACTTACACGGATTTGAGAGTCAGAATAGAAGATCGTTGATGACATGGTAAGCAAGTTTGTTAATATTTAGAGATAAAAGCGCTACATCTGTCATACAGCGCTATTTTGGCTGTGGTGAACACGTGCCAAGCATGACGCGTCACCATGGAAACTTGGCTGGCGGGCGGGCGGGGATCGCGAATTAGAAATAAAGGCCTGCCTCTAATAAAAGCCTGCTTCAAATAAAAGCCGGCTACCATCTGCAGTTCAGGTAAATAAAGGCCCCGGCCTTTATTTGAGGAATTACGGTATGTTCATTTAGGTTAACTTATGATGTTAATAAAAGCTTTTGCACAATATATATATATATATATATATATTTAAGGGACGGCTCCTTTAAGGCTTGTCAGTAACTGGCCACTGTTATGATTGGCTAATGTCATTGCATAGGAAACAGTATCAACGCCCACTGGCTACTGGCTATTGCATGCGAGTAAGTGTTTTGAAAACATTATCCAGATAAAACCGTCATTTACAGACAAAGCATTATGAAATTGTTTACTTATGATTTGTGATGCAGCTGCTGTCAACAAAAGTTTCTTTGCGAACTCCCTATTACACCGTGCTTCGTTTACTAAACCATCTGCAGTCAAATTCTCTGAACAAACATATAATCCTCGGAGCTGTCCCAAACTGTTTGAGTTTTGGGAGTTGATTTTTGCTTTTCTTTCTAGAGTATTGCATACTCATATTGACCCGTCACCGATCATTGCCATCTTTGGAGTAGTACCACAAGAACTTGGTATAGGCAAATGGGATAAAACAATGATAGCATTTGTAACTCTCTTGGCCAGACGCATTATTTTATTGAAATGGAAGGACAAGTCTCCACCTGTATTTAAACATTGGATTAACGATGTTATGCACTATTTAACACTTGAGCAAATTCGTTATAATTTGCAGGGTAATAACATTAAATTCAGTAATATCTGGCAACCTGTTCTTACATTAATTGAACAAATGGACTCTAATGACATTGTATGATGTTTTTTTTGTTTTTTTTGTTTTTTTTTGCCTTTACACCAGTGGTGCGATGTGGGTGGGTGGGTTCTAGGTTGCTAAGTGTTTTTTGTTTGTTGTATGTTAAAATACAATAAAAAGACTTTGATAAAAAAAATAAAAACATATAATCCTCCGACACGATCTGAGACGCCATTAAAATAAACAATCCACTTGTTCCTGACGCTGGTAACCTTCTGAAGTCTGTACAGGGACGCAAACGAGCTGTTTTAACTGGACGCGTCAAAGCGAACGTTCCTTGACGCTTCTATTTATTTTTCCATTTGTCCTCTTGTTGACAGACTCAAGCGCGTGAAGTAAAGTGAACGGGCATCTGTATACTGTATCCAGTGTAGACAGTATCGGTGATTGTATTGGATTCTATTTGCTTTTGACACAACGCTCTCACATCCAGTGTCGGCAAGTGTCAGCCATTAAGCGACTGAACGCCAGATGGCGGGGCCTATGATGTGATGATGTAAAAACTATTCGTCAATGTCTTGCTCTGGAGGCAGGCATATGCAAATGTATTTGCCCGTGTGACATCACAAGTCCTCCAATATCCAAACAAGCTGTTTTTGGAGCTTGATTAAATAAATGCTTTGTTTATAATAAGGAGGACTTTTTAAGCTCTGAAACTTGCAGGGTTTTGCAGGAAACTTCTTATACATCAAAATATCAAAGCTAATTAGATTTTTCATGTCATGACCCCTTTAAGATAAAAATGATTAAAGCTAGTAAACCACCTTGGCTCACCTGGTGAGGTCATGGTTGCACTAGTTAACCATATTTCAAACCATAGCTTCCCCACCATTGATTGGCGTATATAGCTAGATAACAGTATGATCTTTTTGTTTCTCTCTTACTTTTTTTAAATACAACGAAATAGGTACCTTGTGCAGATCATTTTTCTCTTGTGTGACACCCTTCAGCTGTTTCTCTAAGCCCCTGATGACCTTAGATGAGTCTTCCAGGTCTCTTCGGGCAGTGCTGGCCTCCTGCAACTGCTGTTCCATTTGACCAGAGTCTGACATGACACAACATTATATAGTCTTTGTCCAAAGATGTCACTACCCTCAATGGGTAATCAATAGAGTACAATAAAGACCCAAGACCGGGATTGTGCCCTTAACTGTGTGCGTTCTAACCCAATATCGAGCTCTCACCTGCGATCTGTTTCTTCAGGATGTCGATCTCACTCTTTAAACTCCTGATCTCTACCTCTGTATTAGTATTCACAGGGGCGTCCGAATCAGGGTACTGCAGTGCTTGCACTGTCTGCGTGGACTCTAAGGGAAAAAATATGTTTCAGAGAGACAGAAGGATAAAATGTGATTTATTCTGGATAAGTTAGTGCCCTCACCATGTAGTTTACGGGTAAGTTCGGTCTTCTCCTGCTCTAGACGTCTGATCCTTCTCTCATAGGCTTCAGAGGCCAAGCTTTCCTCCAGGCTACGCTGAAGATCAGCATCTACCTGTGCAGGTCCAATGGACTCTCGCAGACACCCTCGATCTGACAGTGTGCTAAAGAACCACATATATCGCACAATTGCAATTAAAATTGTATTAAAATAATAATATTGTTAAAGCGCACAGCAACCTACACTACTGTTCAAAAGTTTGGGGTTGGTTAGATTTTTAAATGTTTTTGAAAGAAGTCTCTTATGCTCACCAAGGCTGTATTTATTTGATGAAAAATACAGTAGAAACTATAATATTGTGAAATATTCTTAAACATTTAAAAAAAAAAGTTTTTTATTTCAATATATTTAAAATATATAATTTATTTCTGTGATGGCCAAGCTAAATTTTCAGCAGCCATAACTCCAGTTTTCAGTGTCACATGATCCTTCAGAAATCATTCTAATATGATTTTTTGGTGCTCAAGAAACATTTCTTATTATCAATGTTAAAAATAGTTGTACTGCTCAGTATTTTTCTGGAAACCAAGATAAAAAAAAAACATGATTATTTGACGAATAGAAAGTTCAAAGTCTTTTGTAACAATGTAAATGACTTTACTCTCACTTTCGATCAATTTAATGCATCTCGCTAAATAAAAGTATTCCTTTCTTTCAAAAAAGAAAGTCTTACTGACCGCAAACTGAACAGTAGTGTACCTTATTAAGAAAGGCATGATGAATAAAAAGTTGTCTGACTCACCATTTGCTTGTGTAGGTGAAGCCTATGAATGGGAGGTGGTGTCCAGAAAATGCTGTGTGTGAAGGTGGGCGCAACGTCTCCTAAAATATTTCAGAAAAACAATCTATGACTCAACCATCCATTAAAGTCATCCAGTTACACTGCATAATGGCCTGCTCAACTACATACTAATGCATTTGTGTGAAAAAACAAAACAAAAAAAACATTGACTACAGGATAAAATTAGAACAAAACTAGATGCATACACAGTTTTTGAGGCAATCGTCATCCACATCAAAGTTGGAGGTGTCAGTGGGGCTGCTGACTTCAGGGATGTAGGGGGCTTCGCACATGCGGATGTTGTCCCAGTCGATGCCTGTGAAAAAGGGGTGCTGTTTAAAGTCGTCGATGCCATTCTGGCCCAGCCGGTGTTCTCTGCTGCAGATCAGCCGCCGGATGAGATCTTTAGCCTCCTCGGAAACATCCGTCACCTGAAGTGGGAACTGGAAGCGCTCCTGAGAAAGAAAGAGTTGGAATATACTTGAGCATTGCAGAGTAAGACTATCATTTATCTCGACCTAACTACGCTAGTTACGGTGGTTGAAGATGTGCTCCATTAGTTAAGTCCCACACAAAACTAAATTAACCTTGATGAAAAGGTGAATTACCTCATTGTTAGGTTGAGATGACTAATCCAGAATAAAATAGTGAAGGAAAGACAAAAAGAATATTTAATTCAAAACTTCTACAATTCACTCATGACTTTTTTGTTTTATACTAAGCAAGATACACATACAAATTATTGTCTTGGTTAACTAAAAGAAGGAATGGGTTACCTAGAAATTAAAGGGGACCTATTATGCCCTTTCTTAAAGTCTTGATTTTGTTTTTGGGGTCTCCCAGAATAGGTTTTCATAGTTGCAGCACCTCTCTTCCCAGTCTGTCAGTAACGCTCTGTTTAGTTTCTGTCTCTATAAAGCCCCTCCTTCCGAACAGCGCAATGTGCTCTGATTGGTTGGCTGGACCAGTGTTTTGTGATTGGTCAACCACTTCAAAAGTGGTTCAGAAATGTCACGCCTCCTACAATAACCACGAGTTTCAACAGACTACTAACGCAAATCAACAAAGCTTCCCTCCTTTTTTTGTTTACATGCCATGGATGGGAATTATTTAAATGAGATAAATTGTGACGTGTACAGGAGAAAACTCAAGACTACAATAGAGGCATTTCAGGGAGTTCATAAACAGTGCTTACTGATATAGAGAATAACTCCATTCGGAGTGGACTTTGTGCGTCATAACTTTGCAGACCCTTTCATGCTCAAACAGCAATCTCACGCACTAAATTAATTTGAAAATCTAAAAAAAGCACAATAGGACCCCTTTAAGCTACTCTACCCCAAACAGATTTCAGAAGTGCATCTCCATAATTAAAGGTGAAATGTGCAATTTCTCAGCACTAGCATCACAAACTGCAACTTCATAAAACACTTGTTTTCCTGAACAAAATGTAATGATTTGGATAGTGCCACAGTGTTTTTACACTATTCAGGGGAATCAACCAATGAATGGCTTGCATTCAGTTGTCTCTGAAGGAAGAATGTATTTTACATTTGACATAAAATTGAAAAATTACACACATCACCTTTAAACAAACATGGGAAATAATGGCATGTTCAATTCTTGTGGTACAAAATTGCGTGTTGGTATACAATGCAAACAAACCTTATGGTTCATGATCTTGCCGTATGTCTCCACCAGAGACTCAGCATAAAAGGGTGTCTCTCCATAAAGCATCTCGTACATGCACACACCTAGAGACCACCAGTCACACTCCGGCCCATACTTTCCCTTCCCATCCTCCATAGCCTGCAAGATCTCCGGAGAGATGTAGTCCGGGGTCCCAACTGCAACAGAGGACTGGACCTATGAGAAAACGTGTACAGGAAGACGGAAATTTATAACACAACATTTACTGACCAAGAAATCATGTCCTTGACAGCTTTAGGATTGAAAATCAAACTCACTGTCCCATCTTCCAAGAGTTTAAGGCAGGAGCCAAAGTCAGCCAGCCGGATGTGACCGTTCATGTCCATCAGGATATTGTCTGGCTTAATATCTCTGATTAAACATAAAACACAAATCACAGACACTCATTATACAAAACAAAAATGAACCATAACAAAGGAGAATGATAGTGCGCCATGGCAACGTCAACCTAAATGAATACAGTAATCATTCAGTGCCATGGCATGCATGTATACAAAAATCACATCATATAAATAAAATTAAATAATATATATTTATTACTTTTATATTTAGTTTATATTTTAATATAATATTTTTAATTTATATTACTTTTAATATTTAGTTTATATTTATTTATATATTACATTTATAACATTTTATATAATAAAATTTAGTTTTAATTAAAGTATTGTGTGTGTGTGTGTAGATGGACTGACCAAGGGCCTGTGGTGACTTAATAAGGGTCAAAGGTCATGGTCTACATGTCATTGGACTGAGCCAAACAGCTAAAGCTTTACTGCAATCTTGCACTATTCAAATAACACCACAATTTGTGTCATGACTGGAGATTTCTAAACTCTGTGAGATACATACAACCTTCTATGTTTAAGACAAAGTCTTTAAGTTTGTCTATATCAATAAATCATGCAACTGTCCTGTGGCACATGTACAGTGCTGGCTGTCGTAAAAGATATAAGCAAAACTTTGAAGGACACGCGCACACTATCTCACTCAAATAGCCGGGGGATTTACCAGCGTCAGCACATCATTAATCATAACAGCTCATAAACCCTAAAACTCAGCACTACTGAGTTTTTTTTTTTTTTTTTACGTTATAGCCAACGTTTCAAATAAGACATTACAAGCTCATACAGTGTGAGTGTGTGTGTGTGGAGTAAATAGAGTGGGGGAAAGCCCACAGAGTTTTTACATAAGTGTTGATTATTAATTGTCAGCAACGTGCAAGATATGAAGATGTATGTGTGTGCATGTGTGAGGTAAGAGGCAGGCAGCCATCCCCCGCTGTCAAGCAGTTGAACAGAGGGCCAAAAAGAACCATGTATCAGGGCTTTAACACAGAGAGGTTTGTCTGAGATTGTGTGAGGAACTCAGTGGGTGGTGGAACGATTTCCATAATGACTTGACCTCATCCACACCGAATAATGAAGCAATACTGTCAAAACTACAATGTTTATAATATATAGCACTCCTGTTTTGGGGTCATTTAATTAAGTAATGTGACCATTGATAAATAAACAATTTTTTAATCTCTGAAAACAACATTGAGCAAATCAAAAATTAAGTTTTCGTTCAGCACAGCTATTATAACCTAGGGCAGACTAAAATGATTAAAAAAAAGTATTATATACATAAGATTTTAATTCATTCTAATCATTTCACTAGAAGTATATTTATACACTTCAAAAAAAATAAATATAAAATATATTTACTTAACGAAGCACTACCATTCAAAATTTTGGGGTCGTGAGATTTTCTAATGTTTTTGATTAAGTCTTATGATTCGATTCGATAAGTGCTCCAATGCTCAAAAAAGCTGCATTTATTTGAACAAAAATACAGTAAAAAGCAATATTGTGAAATAATACTATTACATTTCAAAATAATAGTTTTTTATTTTAACATTTTAAAATGTAATTTATTCCTGTGATGGCAAAGCGGAATTTTAAGCATCATTACTCCAGTCTTCAGTGTCACATGATCCTTCAGATCCATCCTTGCTGATTTGGTGATCAAGAAACATTATAAAAATTATGTTGAAAACAGTTGTGCTGCTTAATATTTTCATGGAAACTTTTTTCAGGATTCTTTAAAGCATATAATAATTGAAAGTAAAGAACAGTATTTATTTAAGAAATCTTCTGTAACATTCTAAAAATCTTTACTGTCACTTTTCGATATATTTAAAAGTATCCTTGTTGAATAAAAGTTAATTACTTTAAAAAGAAAAGCATTGAAAGCATTGTTTGACTTTTAATAAATCGCAATGAGACAATGTCTCCTTAGAGGGGCTCGCAAAACATGCAGATGATGCATCTATTGTTCATGAATGAATGATCATTCATTGATTGATTCATTGATTCATTCATTGATTCATTCATCTATTGTTCAGAAGGAAAATTATTTATTATTAGGTTTAATTCAAAATGAATCAAAACAAAGCATTTATTTAACGTATAAATTTTCAATAACAAAACTGATCCTGATACACAGCAAATCTCTCAACAGCTATAATCCATGACCAATTCTGTGGACCATCCAGACCACTCCTTATCTGATTCTGTCACTGAGGTCTTTAACGGTTTTCCTTTCTAAGAGGGTCTTGGCTTGACTGGGTGCTTCTCACCGCCACGGTCCTGTGCCAAAGAGCAACAGCAGAAAGCGGAGGAGGATAAGCTAAACCAATTAAGAAGTAGAGAAACTCTGAACCAAACAAATATGCTCTGCAGAGACCATAGATTAGCATTACGAGCTAACAAGGTTTACCTCAGATAATATAGCCAAACCATGATATAGATAATGTGACATAGCCATTGAAAATGACACTATAGCAACTGCAAATGTAACTTTTATTTTCACTATTACTCCAGTCTTGTGTGCGTTAAGACTCCAATCATAGCTAAGCTTCCTTTTAAACTGTTAAACTTGGCTTGCATTAAATCTACATTAGATTTTGTTAACTTGGCCGCATGCCTCCTGCTAGGCAAAAAGCCATTCACTTTGTAATGGTGCATTAAGGGGTTCGGTCTGGCCAGCAGGGGTTGCAGTGTAGGTGATAATTGGGTGGCTCTGTCCCGGGCTGCTGTCTTAAGGAGCAGCGGACTGCAAGCAGAGGGAGGTAATCCCACTTTAAGACCACAATAACCATCTGTGAGCACCATCTGGACCTGGCTCATGCCTACCACAGGAAGAGCTGGTCAACTATAGACAGGAAGAAAGAGAAGGGGGTGGGACTCATTGTATGGGGATGTTGGATACATTTCAGCAATTCATTCAGTACTTTTTTTTTTTACTCGAGCATTGAGCTCAATCCATTTAAAAAAGAAAAGAAAAAAGGAAAAGTGGAGTATGTGGAAACTTCAACTTGTAGGTCAAGGCCTTCTGGTTGAAAAAAAGCTGTTCTACAAGCACTAAGACCGCCGCCGGTGTCACCAAACAAAGCTCTTTATGAGGTCATCCAATCACCTGTGCTGTTTCAAATGAATGTGACTTAATCCTCAGGCAACATCTGTGCATCTTTCTCTTTGATAGGGGATCTTTACAGGTAACAAGAGATTCCCTCTAGACTTTTAAGGTGCGATGAGCCAGATCTCTGTGGTGAATGAAATTCCAGCTAGCTTCCTTAGGAATCAGCTGAGACATCACACACATGGTATTGATCAATAGCAGGACACACATATGGCCCTGATCAATAACTGAATATAATGCAATAGTCATGCAAAACAAAATGACAGATGCTAGTGCTTCCGGTTGGCACTTCAACTGTGACATGGGCCGGTCCTCATCAGTGGAAGGATCAGAGCTCACCCTATGCAAATATCTGGCAGAGAGGAACCGGGCACTTAACACCACTTACAAGCACAATCTCTAAAAATCCTCCACTTTAACACAACAGCTTGCCCACTTAGTCTAATGAGGGCTGGGTGAAAGCAAGAGCTCCAAGCTTTTCCTGGAAGGAGCTTTCAGGGCAGGAGCCCACTAATGTGATCTGCCGACTAGAAACAATGTGTGAAACCTGCATTTAAAAATCTAAACGTGAATTAATAAAGAGACAGAATTCATTTGAGATTCAAGAAATCCATTTAAGGCATAGTTAACACAAAAATGAAAATGCTGTCATCATTTATTCATATTTAATCATGTCATTCCAAACTCTGCATCATGCCAGATTTGATGTCAATGCTGAGACACTGTCATAAGACTTTAGAGTTGTATTGTAGAGTTGTATCAACTAGAGCTGCATGGTTAAGTGCAATAAAACTGAAAATGCATAATGGCTTAAGGCCTTTTCACACTGAGCACAACACAATGAAGCGAAGCGAATGGCCAAAGAAAAAAAAGTCTTGCTCTGTCGCGCCACGATTGATTGTGTTCGGTATATATCTCCATAGGGATGTATCGTTCCGATTCAGAAGCGTCATCGCGTCGTACATTCGCGTCGCTTAATCACGCTCAGTGTGAAAGGCCTTAGTGTGATTATTATATTAGTATGATTTAATTATGCTTCACTCGAAAATGTGCAGCTCATTTATTTATTTATGTCACTTGTACTGTAAAACAAAATTATGTTTATTACATTATATTATTAAATTCTTCATTTTTTTATTTCACAGTAACATATTACACTAACAATATTTCTTATATTGTTGAATATATTAAAAGAGAAATAATAATAGTCATAAATAAATCAACCTTGAGTACATAGAAGTTTAATTTCTAAGTGATATATCCCTTTAAATATTTTTTTTGATGATACACTCTTAATTATGGACTCATCACTGTGCATTTTTGCAAACTGTGGTGTCTCAACTATTTTCACACAGTACATCCACCTTTATATGTACAGGCGCACTTATTCCCATATGCACACACCCTTTAACATGGCTCATACAAAAACACACCCACACCAACCCCATCCCTGGAGACCAATCCACTCCGTCCCCACCCTCCACAAACCAGGCGTGCCAAACTCTCACGAGAGGAGAGTTGACCACACCTCTAACCCCATGATTACTGCTTTTAACTTTCCCCTGCCTGTCCCTCTGGGTGCCCCAAAAACAGACTGCAATTGGCAGACCAAGACTGCACATCAGTTTGTGAGGAAGACAACACGAGTACATTAGAGAAAGTGTGTGTTTGTACCTAAATGAAGTGTTCGGTGGGAGTTAAGCACACCCAAAGTCCCAGTACAAACACATTCATCACACTGAGTGCTCGATGCAACTGGTGCCTGTTATTATGCAAATATGGAGAAGCCACTTCCTGTATGATAACCAAAAATGGGCTCCAACCCAGCCATCCCTCAGACTAAACATAGCCTTTTTTCCAACTCATTGCACTGCTTCAGTGCATGCTTCATGTTTCAGTGCATGCTTAGCTGATTTGAAAACCCCATGAAATCGAAGTGGGTGTTTTGTGGCGTTTTAAATTCATGTGTATTAGGTTTGGGTTCATCTTTATGCTAATATACACCACCGTTCAAAAGTTTGGGGTCGGAAACATTAATATTTTTGAAGGAAGTTTCTTGTGCTCACCGAGGCTGTATTTATTTGATTATTTCAGGGAAAACAGTATTATTGTGAACTATTATTAAACTTTAAAAGCACAGTTTTTTATTTTAATATATTCAGTTTAATTTATTTTAATATATACTTATCAGTTAAAAACAGCTGTGCTGGTTAATATTTTTGTGGAAACTTTGATACTTTTTTCTTTCAGGATTTTTAGAAAGTTCAAAAGAACAGCATTTATTTGAGATAGAAATCTTTTGTAACAAATGTCTTTACTGTCACTTTTGATCAATTTAATGCATATTTGCTGAATTAAAGTATTAATTTCTTTCAAATAAATCTTACTGACCCCAAACTTTTGAACGGTAGTGTACTCCTAAACATTGACACAATTCACTTTAAGCAGACACACGCTTTTAAAATGTATAGTCTTCTTTTTCAAATATAATGATGACTCATAGTGCACTACACAGGTTGTTGTCCAATCAAATGCTCTCTAGAATGAAAAAATAAGGATAACCCTAATCCTTTTTGTTTCAATAAAGGGGTTACATTTTGGCTGGTTAACATGGCTTTAGCTGTCAAATATCATCAGAATCATCTTTCTGCAATGACATCCGTCAATGTATTTAAGTATCAAAAGAATCTGTGTATTCTCACCAAATAAAACAATTTTACAGGCAAACCCGACTGCAAAATGGATTGCTGTGGACAGTAATAGGATTATATTCAGGGATATGGAAATAAAACAACCAATATAATGACTTATAAAGCCGCTTTTAATATTCAATGCTTTTGTCTGCCACAAAGCTGTCTTTAGATTTTTACTATTTGTAGGCTCAGAAAATATTGATATATTGCAATAATAGTGATTAATTAACCAGCAAATCATGTAATTAATTCAGTCAACATTTGAAACTGATGGACAACCCTGGGGCCGATTGCATAAACTGCTAAGACTAGTCTTACAAGTTAGTCATCAAATTTGTTTCTTTAAGACTGTTTATAACTTTTTTTAAGTCAGTTACATAATGTAGATTGGTCTAATTTGATTGCGAAAAGTAAGACTGATTACACCTAACTAACTGCTATTTGGTCATACTATTTCGTAAGACATAGTCTTAACATAATGGTTATGTTTACGCAACTGGCCCCTGGTTTAAAGATCCCAGGACCCACCTGTGAACATAATGTAGCTGATGCACAGAGTCAATAGCCAAGACCATCTCGGCCAGATAGAACTTGGACATGTCCTCAGGCAAACGATCTTCAAATTTACTGAGCAGAGTCAACAGATCTCCCCCTACATAGTAGTCCATCACCAGATACTAGGAGGAGAGAAAAACAGGGAGTGAATAAAGACAGAAATAAGAGAAGAAAGGGAACAAAAGGTATGGGAAACAAAGATATCAATCATAAACAGTTTACAATTTAAATTCCCTTTACCCTCGGATTAACCCATCCCATCTCAGTTATCCATGACATGCTTTCATCTAAAACCTCTTATCGCCCTCTTCCTCCAGTTTCATTTCCTCACACTCCCACTCATGAAGCTGAACTAAAATAATAGTTCATATCGAAGACCCTCTTCTCCAGTCACGCTATATACACAACACGGCACAGATAAATATATAGTCGGCTGTAAGACAGTGTCCCTTGAAACTCTGTAAGTCATGACGGATGATCATGTTATGCCCCCCTTCTGCACCTTATCAAGTGAATGTGAATCAGACTCAATGTGAGCTTGAGAGTTCTCACGCACCAAGTTGTTCTCATCCTGGAAAGCATAGTGCAACGTTGTGATCCACTGACTGTCCCCATTCACCAGCACGTCCCGTTCCTCCCGAAAACATGCCGTCTGAGGGAAAAAGAGGTAAATGTCAAAGAAAACCACTTCTCAGAGTCAGCGATCAAAAATGTGCCCCACATACTTAGAATGACTCCAACCAAGGGGTCTATTTCCACTGTGAGGAATGCTTTCTGAATCATATAGAGCAAAGACTGTTTGTTTTTAAGTGGTTTATCGTGTAATTGGTAAAGACAGAGGGAGTAACACTCTAGTAGGAAGCTAAGGAATGACATGCCAGGGATATAGGAGAAACGGCTGCATCGGCTGAATGGTCAAGCATGATGCTAACTGGATCAAGATTTGCACATTATATAAAAATCAGTCTTGAGAAAAACATTGCTGTAATTTGCAGCTAAAGCAGTTAGTTTATTTGGATCAAATCTGCTGAATAAAAGCAAGGGATGTCAGTAAAAACATCAGCCCACCTCAGCCCTTTTGAGCATTTCCCATTTGTTGAGAATCTTCATGGCAAATACTTTGTCTGTATTTTTCACCTTTACTACTGCAACCTGTAAGGAAGACAAGAACATCAGTCTTGATGTGATCTTAAAACATGATTCTACCTGGAAACAGTGTTTTTTTAATTACCATTTACACAACTGCTACTTAACTTGTTTGTTAAAAGTGCTGCCATTAGCATTCGTAGCAGAAAAAGTACAGTAGATTTGCTCATTTCTACTGGTACTGCAAGTTTGCAGGAACTAAATGCAACTAATGAAGAAGAGATGCACCGAAATTATGTCTATTTCCGGTTTTAGGCTGAAATGGTTTTGGAGGGCCGAAATCAATGACCGAAATTACAATGATGTTTAATTAGCGCTTCTCCAATGACACGTTTTCATTATCATGTGACCTCCCAGCGTCAGTTGTGTCGCTTCACCGTCATTAACAAAACCTCTCCCGTGGCCTCATGGAATTGTAAAGCGTCCATCGTATATGCACACTTTAGAATCACGCCGGGTAGTAGTAGGTCACCTGGGTACTTTTTGCCAACTCTTTTATTAGTACTGTGAATTCGGACATACTTCTTTTGTCACATACTGTTTTTAGCCAACTATATTGTAGGGGAGCATATTTCGGATCCAGCCAGTGTTTTAACCAGGGAAAGACATCAATAAAACAGCTTGTTTTTAAATGTTTTAAAAATAATTCTCTTATCCTCACCAAGGCTGCATTTATTTGATTAAAAATACAGTAAAAACAGTAAATATTACAATTTAAAATAACTGTATAATTATACAGCAAAATTAAATAACTTATTTAAATGTATTTTATATGTATAAAAATATAATTTATTCATGTGATGGCAAAGCTACATTTTTCAACAGTGTCACATGATCCTTCAGAATTCATTCTAGTATGCTGATTTGGCTCAAACAATATTTCTTATTATTATCAATATTGAGAACAGTTGTGCCGCTTAATATTTTTGTAGAAACCGTGATACATTTTCTTCAGGGTTCTTTGATGAATAGAAAGAACATCATTTATTTGAAAGAGATTTTTTTTAAAACATTATGAACGTTAGTCAGACAGTCTATTCCTGTCTAAGCGGGCAATTATTTGTAACAATAAGCAGCAAATTCAATCTCTGTGAGACCACAAACAGTACAGTTCAAATACAAGGAAAAACAGATGCCTGTGAATGTCATGAGATCATAGTCCCAGGAAAGTAACAATGATCATATCTAGCATCTGCCTTAAAGAGGGAATATAAAGCATTAGGCTCAGTTGGATGTGTGATGTCTTCACTCTATTAAATGATGATCAGCGAACACAACAGTGTTCTGGCAATGTTCAGTGACTTGATCAGGAAAGAGCACACTGTTCTTGGCTCTGACTTTGCTGATAGGGGAGTCTCTTTCAAAGTTCTTTTGCTCTTCGCTTTCTGCCATCAAGTGTACGATGACAGTATGTGATGTCCTTTTCCACACCCTACACAGTTTTAATAAAAAAAATGCACTTCAGTAAGTGGGATTTAAATGTGTTGAAGTGTTAAAATAATGTGACAATGCAAAAAAAACTCTTAATGATCTTAAACGATTTTTTTTTGTCTTCAAATTCGAATTTCAGTAGCAGCTACTGGCTCAGAAATCTTCACAGGAAATGATGTCATCGGCCCTTCTTCTTCTCGCCAAAGCCTTTCCTGATCCATCAGGAGATGAAAGTGTGTGACTGATCCTCAATCTGTTCCTTCGCACGTTTTCTCACAGCTGCATGGCTTCCATTCTCGTGTTATTTTGGCAACAGGCTCACGTCAAGCAGAACAGACTTTCTGCTAGGTTTCCATGAGCTGTTGATTCCAGCTGGACTGAAGTGAGGCCGGAAACCCTGTCGAGTGGTGTGTCAGACGAAAACGTTCCCACTGAGGCGGGCATAGATGAATCATAGCTCACCAGACGTTGACAAGTGGAGAAAAACCCAAGGACTGACAAATATTGCCCTTTAAAATCTACTTTAACCTCAAGGATCTTTGATGTATTTCCATCCACCAAATCTAATAAATGTGTTGCCATTTTTATAATGAAAAACCTATCCGTTGTTAAGAAAGTTTAAAACTGTCTTTTTGTAGACATAGTTGTTAATGTATTTCACTTCTTGGAAAATTTAAGGTACTTGATTTCTGAGCAATTTGTTTAAGGCAGATCTGTATTTTAAAGGATTAGCTTAATGAGAATTTGGTCAATCTGTTATGTATTGCAAATCCCAAACCCCACTTGACTTGTTTTCAATGGGGAAAAAATTATCTGAATGAGGACTAAAGCCTTCAAGATTCAATAAAGATGGAAGAAATACCATAAAACGATCATAAAAATATTCTGTACAACTAAGTAATACGCAATATTTCAAGTGCCAAGATATTACTCAAAAAAATATTACTTTTTTTATTTTTATAGGAAGAGAGTGAGTTGCATGGGTTACAAATGGTAAATTTTGTACTAAAGTAAATAATGACAATTTTTATTTTTGGGTGGACTATTTCTGGAACCGTCAAAGTGTCACAGAGCTATTTTCTCACTGTGAAATAAAACCTGAATAAAAATTCCATAACCATTTGCTGGGGTTCCCACTTGACGGGCCATTCTAATCAGCCAGGCCTCACGAAGTAACCTAATAGTATTGGTTTCCTGGCCTACCTGTACACCACACATTCCCCAGTGACTACATCACACGTCTGTCATTACAAAAGAACATCAACTGCCTCAGGCTCTTAGAAGCACTACATGAAGAATATCCTTACTCTGCAACATACCTGTGTTTATGGTAAATCATCAGTATACTAACTCATTAAATATTGCAATGGGGCTATTACAGGTATTTAAAAAAAAAAGAATGTTCCAAAGGAAACAAGAACAATAAATACCTCTCCAAAAGCTCCCCGTCCAATCACCTTCAGGATCTCAAAATCCTCCTTGCGCAAGCGCATCTGTTTCACCTTGGATGTGAAAGGTTTGGCTGTAAAAACAAAATAAAAGAAATGTGACAAAATCAGTTAAAACAAACAAGTAAACAACTATTTTTATTTCTTTTACCCAAATTATAAAATTGTTAAAAACATGAATAAATATACTGTCATTCATAAGTTTGGGGTAGGATTTTAAAGAAGTGAATACTTTGTTTTATTGAGCAAAAACACATTCAATTGTGACAGTTAAGACATGTATAATGTTACAAAAGATTTCTATTTTAAATAAATGCTGTTCTAAACTTTCTACTCATGTTCTAATAATGAAAAAAATGCATCTTAGTTTCCAAAAAAATATTAAGCAGCACAACTGTTTTCAACATTGATAATAATAAGAAATGTTTCTTGAGCACCAAATCAGCATATCAGAATGATTTCTGAAGGATCATGTGACACAAATGTGAAAATTCAGCTTTGCCATCAGAGGAATTAAAATAGAAACAGTTATTTTAAACTGTAATAATATTTCTGTATTTTTTTACTGTATTTTTGATCATATAAATGCAGTCTTGAGTAAAACTTTTCAAAAACATACAAAAAGCTTACCCCAAACATTTGAACTGTATGTTATTAACAATTCATTTATTTGTGAAAAAAGAATGCAGAACATTTTCAAATATTGTGTAAAATAAATAATTATTTTACTACAGCAATGTTGTACGTGCTATTTATTCACAGGGTGTAGCCAATCCTAAACGGAGACCTGCCATCCCTGGCTCAGATATCTAACAAGTGGGAAAACATGGGAACAGAGAAGTGGATGATCTCAACCGCAGTGCGATAAGGTTAAAAATCTGCCATGTTTATCCTCAACAAGAGTTCAAACACGCCACCCACACCTGCCATCATCAGTCTATGTAGCTCTAAACCCTCAGAATGAGGTAAGCTTGACCTTCCTAAAATATCAAAGCTCGACCTCATCTAATGGCTCTTGTACACATTACTGAGGTGTGCTGTAGCAAAGATTTTCCATGGAGCACATGTACTGCCTCTGCCGCAGACTCACAATGTTGTCCCTAAATCTCTTCCAATCAGCATCATGCACACGGGGTGGGACATCTCTGTTGCCATAGCAATATTGGATTGTGCAGAGGAGAGAAATTCAAAAAAGTCTGGCCCTGTGAGAAATAAGGAAATGCCTGTCAGACTACAACAAACAAGTCAAACTGAACTGTTATGGGGGGGTTGGTTTGGCTATTTCAAAGTGGATAAATGAATGATGAAAATTCTCCTGGAATATATAGTGGATCCAGAAAACTTGAAGGGATAGTTCAACCAAAAATGAAAATTCTGTCATCATTTACTCACCCTCAAGTTGTTCCAAATCTGCTGAACACAAAAGAAGATATTTTGAAGAATGTGGGTAACCAAACAGGCCCAGGGCCCCATTGACTTCCATAGTATGGAAAAAAATACTAGGGAAGTCAATGGGGCTCATCAACTGTTTGGTTACCCACATTCTTCAAAATATCTTCTTTTGTGTTGAGCAGAAGAAATTCATACAGGGTTTTGAACAACTTGAGGGTGAGTATCCCTTGGGTGAACTATCCCTTTAAACACTGCACTTGAAAATATGAATTTCCTTTGCAACAGAATATGAAACCAAATGCATGTGCAAACAACTAATTTCACCTTTCTTAGCCTTGTTTTTTTTTTACCAAAAAAGAGTGCTTCATCTTTTGTGAAAAAGTTGGGTTTTTTTTTTTATTCAATAATGCAATGACGTTCAAACTATTTTTTAAATGATTAAATACCTTGGGTCCCCAATGCAAGTAAAAATTAAATGCATTAGACATCAAAGTGCAAAAATACAGCTATTAGAAACCAACTTCTGAGACCTTTTTCTATATGTAAAAATTTGGTTTTACAAATCCAACCATTAAAAAACATTGATTGAACCTTAACAAAAATAATTAAAAATATAGCACAATATTTGAAAAACTATTACACGTATTTGCTAAGGCTAAAACCATCCAGAAAACTAAAGCATTGTGGCACACGGGCAATACCAGTTACATTTTTTTTTAGAAGAGGTAAAAAATACTTTCCCTATCTAATAATATAAACTGAGAATAAATCAAATGTTTCCCCACATGATATTCCAATTCTATTTAAAGGGATAGTTCACCCAAAAATGAAAATTCTGTCAGTAATTACTCACTCTCATGTTGTTCCAACCCCGTAAGACTTTCGTTCATCTTCGGAACACAAATTAAGATATTTATTTTTGATAAAATCTGAGAGCTGTCTCACTTCTCCATAGGCTTCTATGTTATTGAAAGTTGCCGGCCCAGGAAAGACCTCTGAGTGAGGTCACGTAGTGTAACAGCACAGCGCTTCTGTGTTGTATGTCAGAATGTAGGCTCACTATTGGCCGACGCTGGTCATGTGTGTGATGCTTGTGACATACAACACAGAAGCGCTGCGCTGTTACACTACGTGAACTCACTCAGAGGCCCACAGAGAATAAAGTCGTTATTTTTGTGCACAAAAAGTATTCTCGTCACTTGATAAACTTATGGTTGAGCCACTGTAGTCACTTGGACTATTTTAACGATGTTTTTTACTAACTTTTCTGGTTTTTTTTTGTTTTTGTTTTTCTGATATTTAATCAAAAATATCTTAATTTGTGTTCCGAAGATGAACCAAAGTCTTACAGGGTTGAAACAACATAAGAGAGAGTAATTACTGACAGAATTTTCATTTTTGGGTGAACTAACCCTTTAAGGGGTCATTCTCTGTTGAAGTTACAGCATCTGTCTTTCAGAGCAAATAAGTGGGTAGATCACCAAGGTACAATTGGTGGCTCCAAGGCATTCTGGTCCCAGCAGGCCTTCACTACCCGACCAGGTCATTACATCTCATCAGAACGGCTCCACATTACTACTGTGATTACATTTAAGAACTGACCCACAGCTAATTTAACAGTAACAGTAGTCACAGTCACATATCACAGGTAGTTTATCTCACACCCTGATGATGACAGCTAAAAACATGCCAACAATACCAACTATGTGTAAACACCGTTAAGTAAGGGTAGGCAGCATAACTAAAGTATTAGGCTAGATCACGCTTTAATGATGAACGCACGGAATTACACAACACTTTACATAAGACATTAACCGATCAGGGACTGGACAAGACAGGGAGTTTAAATACAAAAGACGAACCAAATGACTGACAGGTGATAATCACACGTAACCATCTAAAAAAACAAGGAGATAATCAGTAACCAAAAAAGAACAGAGCAGAGAAACAGGAACTAATCAAAACACAACAAAAAAATCTAAATAAGAGTCCATTACAATATATCTTCTATCTGGAAATATGGCTTATATATTAAATAAACATGTGGTAGTGGATATTATAGATAATCTAGTAAATAAATAAAAAAAAGAGTACATTAGATTCGATTTTTCTTTATTTAGTACTTGATTAGGGGTGTAACGACACATTGCTATATCGAGAAATTCGCGATATAAAAATATTTATCGTTGATATAAAATATATGATTTGCGATAGAGTTAGTTCATCCAAGGCTCAGCTTACTGTATTTATAAGGTATAATATATAAATTTTAATTCTGTCATCATGTAGGCTACTCACCCTCATGTTGTTTCAAAACTAAAAGATTGTCATTCATCTTCCAAACATAAATTATATTTTTAAAGATAAAGATTTTTTTTATGAAACCTGAGAGACTTCGGTCCCCTCCAATCAAAGTCCATTCCTCTAAAACTTAAAAGATCCAAAAAATTTAATAAAGGCATTATTTTTACAATCAATGGAGTGGTCTATCCAAATCCATGTCTTCTGAAGAGACCAATGGCTTTAGCCTATATGATGAACAGATTTACAACGACACAGTAAACATGGATGTTCAAAAGCTTACTTAAAAAAAAAAATAAAAAAAACACTTCTTTATTTTGGCTCAAAATATCGCGATAGTATCATATCATGAGTTCAGTATCGCGATTTGTATCGAATCGTGAGTGTATCGTTACACCCCTTGATGGATGCAAACCAAAAGACAAAGGTAAGTCTGGCATCAGTTCAAAAACAGTCTCAACGTGCTATTTGACTGGATGTATTAAATTCATATCGCCCATGGCTTACCACTGAGACAGGGCAAAAATAACTTCAGACATCCCTGGATAGAATCAGCCACGCTTGACCTCTAAGAAACTTTCAACAGTTTTGACACATTAACGTCAGCCACATGTTAGTAAAATAAGTGTGCCACTGCAGTGGGAGTCGTGCATTACGTCACACACACCATCGACAACATACAACCAGGCATATAATGCTCATAAACCATAGAGTCCTAAAAGACTCCGCAGCGCCACAGACAGCATGGACTGCAAAACAACCACTGAATAAAATACTCTGCAAGCATGAATCTCTATGTAACCATAACATAATTGGACCTGCAAAGCTCGTCTTTATAGAGTAAAAACAAATAAACGTGGATCGAGTGAGGGGCCCGTCAATGGAGAAATGCATGCGATACCTGTGCATCATAAAGCCAGCTCCGCCCTATGTATCTAAGGATCAGTGGGTTAACAATAATAGTTTTAGTGATGCTTCTCTTGTTTAATTTTGGCAGCCGAACAATAGCTATCCAGTATCACTCACCTAAAAACCTAATAAAACAACACGGGCATGTCAAACATAGCAACGGTTGTCATGACAAATGAGAGTGAGGTAATCTGCAGTGCTGTAAATGTAAACACCTTCGCCACATTACTGACTGTATGGATGTTTATCATCCTTTCAAAGAATGGTTGACATGGTAATAGCGAGGTTGTATAAGGCAGTGTTATTTAGTATCATTGATATACTATTAAAGTTTCTTCTAATATTTTAGTAATTTTGTTGTGTGTGTAATTTTTCTTTTACTTATTTTAGTGCTTTAAGTTAAACTAAAATAAGTTTGTTTTTTTATATTTTATTTTATTTCAGTTAATGTTTTCATAGTTTTTGTTTTAAC